TCAAGTTATGCGTCTGATCTCCACATTGTAAAGAGGCCAAAATTGTCATTACCCTTTTAATGCATGAAAATATTCACTCAATTATAAAAGAGTTTATATTTGATAATTTTTCATATATATATATATATATTATATACTGTCAATAAATCAGATAATGATATCATATTAATAAACAAATGTCAGTCCTTGAAATAAATATAAAAAAATTAATATATTTAAAATTTACTCACTAATAAAGTGTTATCATCTTATTTATCTTCTTAATGAGATGATATCATTTGATTTATTACCAATGTATAAGATTTATACATTGATGGTGCATCAAATATAAACTTTTCATTAAATTAACAACAAAAATGTATTTAGAATGAGATAAAGATGTAAAATATTTGATGGAACTTGTTCCCCTACAAAAAGCGACAACCTAACGCCCATCAAAGATAGATTGATAAAGCATTTTCCCCTCATCTAGGTGTTGATGGCTTGCAAGAGCAGAAATCATCCTGATAGTTAGAACCTGTTGCCATCAAATCCTTAATTGCCCAATGATCCATTGATCTGACAATGATTGAGAATAAGTAAGAAAAAAAAATCACCATTCAGAGGGAAAAATTAATAAAAATACTTCCACAAGGAAGGAGGAATTAGGCATTCCACTAAGCATTCCAAATACAAGGAAAAGAGGAGCCATAATTGTCAAATTAATTACAGACATACTCCTGTTGTATGCAAAAAACAAGATGCCATGTTAACAGAAATGAGAAATAAATTTCACCTGTGCTAGAGTAGCAATATTCTGTTAAACACTGCAAGTCATCATTAAACATTCTTCGCGTCTTAAACAATTCAATATTATACAATTTCATGTGTCTAGATTCCGATTCTCTAAACTAAAATAATATCAAAATAATCCCAAATAAAAAGCCAAAAAGAATTTGAGGCAAGCTATGACTTACTCTCAATCTATCAGAAAGGATTGAAGGAGTAACAAGCTTGTACTTTGGAAACTCCGAAAGAAGTTTGTCATATGTTAAGTGGTCAAATAGAACCATGTTGTTCACCTTCTCCTTTTGCTTACCCTTGCTCCATTTCTGCCATTAAAACCATTAAAAGAGCTCATATGATCAGATATACAAGACTAATCAAATAAACACATCTTCAACAAAATTCCCAAAAAATCTACATCTTTAACACTCAACAGAATTGCAAGCCCCACCTTCTTCTTTTGCTTCCCTCCACCAGACTTGGCACGCTTTGAGGACGAAGGTGGTGCCTTTTCCTTCTTTGGTGCCCGCCTAAATCAAAACAAGCAACCAAAACAAAGAATAAAAAAAACTATTGAACTATGAATGTAGAATAAAAAAAAATCATCAAATAATAATCCTAACGAAACAGCTATTATAATAAATTAAGTAGTCAAACATTTATTTTTATCAATTGAGCTTTTATTAGATTAAAATTGATTAAATGTCAAAATTTATTTTTGTCAAACTGAACGCTCAATTGAGGTGAAAATAAATGTTAAAAAGTTCAATTATGTGAAAATAGATGTTTAAAGGTTCAATTTATTCAAAATAAAAAAAATTAAGACTTAATTGATCATAATAAAATATAAAAACTTAAATGATTATCAAATTTTTATTCCAAAACTTTTTTTGACTTTTTTTCCTTGTTAGTTCTATATCGAATTAGGAGGGCATGCAAATAATAGCAAAATTTATTAAGTGAATTGATTTCTTTAGCCAAATCATATGGATCAATTCTAAGTACAGCCTTCCATCAAATTAAAAGGTTTCAAACTTGAAATTTAGTTAAATTAATTCATATAATCACTTTTAAAAGATGACATCCAATAAACTTAATATTCGAATATTAACAACTGCAATCACATTCCCTTATCCTCATATTGTACCTCCTTTGTAAACAAAAAATTAAAAGTTCTTTGCTTCTTTCATTAAGGAACAGGATTTGGATCAAGAGGCTATCAAAGGAAATCATAGTCGTTTGAGAGTGAAGGAAACTTCCTATATTTTGGTGGGTAATTTTCGATTCCTAACAGTTGCTTGATTAAAGGGTTAGCATTATATGGAAATAGATTAGTCTTGAACTTACTAAATTTTCAATTGACTTTGTCCAGAATGACTATCAAGTTGTTCTTGTTTACAGTCTCAAAGGGTCATGGCCTCATTATTAAGCAAACCCTTTGATGTGATTTGCTTGAATCACATAAAATAGGGTTTAAACAAGTAAGGATAAATACAGGAAATTGTTGGAGTGATATTGGGATATCAATGACAAAAGGTGTTCTAAAACTGCGGTTCATTTGATCCTGAAACTTTAGAACTAGCTTTCGATGAAGGGTTCAAAGTCACTGTTAACACGATAAATTAATTTTTTATGAATTTATTAAATCTAATATAAATAAATTTAATTGAATCGATCTAATAAAAGAATTTTTCCAATGGAATCTAAAAATTCTTTATCATTTAACAAAAAATTGTTAAAAAAATCCTAGTAAGAAAGTTGAAAATATCTTCCACCAAGTAAATTATAGGCTAAAAGCATAGAAGTTAAAGGCTATTTTATTTCTATCCAAAGGATTATAGTTTTGCGTCACAATGGTTTTACAACGTGAACTTCACATTTTTATGTACGTACAAAAATCATGAATTCTTCCTCTTGAAAAATCTGAACAAATAGATTATTTATTTTTTTCAAGTTAGAGTAGGAGGTGTGATACATTACAAAACCAAATTACAAAAATTCAAGATTAATATTAGTAGGGATAATATTATGAATAGTTTTTAAATTATATTGAAATATTTAATGTTGTATGTAAAATGTTTAAAAATTTTTAATATAATATTTGAATTATAAATTTATTAGTTAATGTGATACTTAAAATATTATTTATCCGTTATATATCATCATTTAAAGTTAATTACGTTAGAAGTAAATAAAATAATAAATTTATAATTCAAATTTCACATAAAATTTTTTAAAATTTAAATATTTTATTATAATTCAAAAAAAATTATAACATTAATGTATATCAATAAATAAAATAATTTTTATTAATTTATAAATATAACTATCGTGTTTACATGATCAAATTTCGATATACATATGCAATCTTGAGAAGTACATACATTTAAATATGTAAGATAACATATATTTCATTAAAAATTTTCTTTCCCTATAGATTTATTTGTATCCAAGTTAAATCTTACGGGAGACAAGGGAAAAGGAAAAGAAAGGCATAAAGAAAAAATAAAATTAGCTTCCATTAGATCTTCCTACCTTTTCTATGCCATAAATGCCTTGTAGAAAGAGGCAACAATACAATGTGTGTAAAATCTAATTAAAAATGCAATGTTGGGGTTGTCGGATTTTCTTGCTTAACAAACAGTAATTCATCTCATACTTTTTCCTTTTTCATCTCATTTTCCTTAGATTTGGCACCCAAATGCATTGCTCCTTGGGGCCCAAGTGTAAGAGTTTGCTAGATATACGGTAGGACCGTAGCTCACCAACCACAGCCTAATTTTCATAGTGAAAAAAAAAAAATCTCTTTATAATTTTAGGTTAATTTTCATTGTCAACAATTTTTTTACTAATGATTTGTAAATTTAACATAAGTTTTCATTAAATCTGTAATATGTTTGAAAATGAGATAGCTTTATTTGAACTAAACTTTTATGTAAAAAAAAAGGTCTTTTGTCAATCATTTTTTCTTTTGTATACAATAATTTAAAGTTCACAATTTTTTAAAGCAATTTCAATTTAAGGAGATGGATGATTTTAGTTGATAACTTGAGATTGTTGTTTAATTAATTAATTAATTAATTAATTAATTAATAATAATAATAATAATAATAATAATAATCCTTTTGACTAATTTTTAGAAATCCACTCGGTTTTGGGGAAAAAAAACTAGCAAGGATATAAAATCATTTTCAACTACCTATAATTTATTTTTGGATAACTTTAATTAATATTTTTTTTATCAACATCTATTAGTAAATGTCAATATCCCTTAGGAAAAAAATTTGAAGCATACACAAAATGAGGAAAATGAGCTAAAATCATAGGGAATAAACCATCAAAAGTGCATGACTGGTTGATAATTGGAATTGTAAGCCACCATGAAGTTTAAATTGAAAAAAAAAAAGATAATACTACTAATATTATAAACTCATTATCAGCTGATTCTAATAAGCATTTTTGAAAAAGACAATTCAACTCAAAACCATTTTCTTTGTTATTTTCTCAAATAGAAAGTCATCAACTATTTATATATCTTGCAATATAAGTACTTCATCAATCCTTGATCTTACATATTTAAAATTTGAGAAATTTCATTGATGCAAAAATATATATATCTATTGAGAAATTTAGTACATGAACTAATCTCTTTTTTTAATAATATGTTTCCATCTAACACAATTAATGAAATCAATAAATAGAATGGATACCATACATCAATCCATAATAAATACATGTTAACACTAAAATCTTGTTAGCATTTTTTATTTAAATATGATAATTTGTGCATTTTTATTATATTACAAAAATAAAATATAAAAATAATTATATTATAATTTGTATCAACATTTTTAATATGAAATATAATTTTTTTTAATTTTTATTAAATCCAATTACAATTTTTATTAAAATTTTAAATTATATCATATTTACTTTTTCTTTTAATAATATTATGGTATAGTATTTAAAATTATTTATCTACTTTCATCATCTTCAGTGTCTAGTTTCCTTCGCTAAAAGGAAAACTTTATACTCATACTCTTCAAAACAGTAGAAATGGTAGACATCAAAATGTGATTGATTTGAAGAATTTCATAGAATTTCTTTTCTTTACCCCACCATTTATCTCAAAAGGCCAATAACTCAGCTTCCAGTCCATCTCCCTGTAAGGCTATAACTCCATAATTCAGATGGCAGTTAACTTTTTTTTTTTTTTTTTGGTTTAACAAAGGCTCTCTCTTCTACCTCAAGCTGCCACATCTTTATACTCATTAATTACCTCTCTCTTCATTTCCCACCAAATTTTGCTTATCAATGCTCCAAAATCCCGTAAACCAAAAACACCCAAAAGAAAATTGATTCAAATACTATATTTTATTTGTGAATTCAGTAATGATTCTCACGTCCCACATTCTTTTAAAACACCCTTTTCCTTCAATCCAACTCCACCATCTCTCCCTTCCAAATCTGATTCTCAAAAACAAATTCTTTTTCTATTTTCCTTAATTTTTTTTTTTGGGTTTTCTTGATAAATAAATTTTTTTGGTTTTTTTTTTTATATTCCAAAAAAACGTTAATGTCATTGCCAGCCATGAGCACCAACACTTCCTCTTCTTCTTCCTCTTCTGAACCTGTCTTATCATGTGCACCTCAGACATTCTTAACCTACGCTCATGGTGACAGAGATGACTCTGTTAATGTAACAGGCTATGACCTAGAAGGAGAAGAAGAGGAAGAAGTGAAGGAAAGAGAGAAACAGGATGGAGATCAGTTGTCGTTGTTGGCTTTGCTTGTGACTCTTTTCAGGAAATCTTTGGATGCTTGTAAGAGTATCGATAGAAGGGAGCTTTGTGCGATGGAGATCGGTTGGCCAACCAATGTCAGACACGTGGCACATGTTACCTTCGATAGGTTCAATGGTTTCATGGGTTTGCCTGTTGAGTTTGAGCCTGAAGTTCCCAGAAGAGCTCCTAGTGCAAGGTTTCGCCTTTCCCTCTTTCTTTACCAATGTTCCATTCTTTTATTATATAGGTTTCTTTTTATTGAAATGTTAATGCGGGTTTTGGTATTCTTTTTGCTCTTATTTTGGGGGTCTATTGGCTTCGAGAGTTACTGGCATTATGGGTTTTCTGATTCTTTTTTGATGGTTGTCTTTGTTTTGGTATATGGAGTTGTTGGACACAGGATATTGGTTAACTCCAATAGATGAATTTTGGTTAATGCCACTAGCTGCTCAAAGAAATGTGATGATGGGTTATATATATATATATATATATATATATATATATATATATATAGATATCTTGATGTTCTGTTACCTTGTCTAAATTTTGTGTTTTTGACTAGTAAATAGGTGTTTTATAATTTGTTCATGTTGATTTGGTGATGATTTATGCGATGCAGTTCTTATCAGTAGATTTCCATGTTAAATTGTCGAATCCCATCTACCTTTTCTTAAAAAGGAAAAAAGGAAACAATGGTTGTGTTGATTTGCCAAAGCAATTTTTAACTTATAAAATGGTTAGTATTTGGAAATCCTGTTGGGTTATCAGACTCATGAAACTCTCAATTCTTTGCATTTCATTTTTCCTTTAGGGGGTCTCAGGTGGGTGCTGTATTGGCTTATCAAGTTCTTAGAAAGGCCATAAGTAATTGCATGTATTTGGAAGGAGACACGGTTATATATCTCAAGGGATAAATAGAACATTAGTACACTAACACCTGAAAACAGTTTCTCTCGATCAGCACATGTTATAATTTTTTATTCCTTTTTTTTGGCAGTGCGACTGTCTTTGGAGTTTCAACAGAATCCATGCAGTTGTCCTATGACTCCAGAGGGAACAGTGTGCCAACAATACTCTTGCTAATGCAAAGGCGTTTGTATGCTCAAGGAGGCTTGCAGGTTTTCTTTCTTTTTTCATCCTTCCTCATCAATATGCTATAGCTCCAATCATTGGAGAACGTGGAACTCTTTAGTATTTTCTCTTATCTATATGACTGGAACTTATTTTATTACACATTTCTAGTTTTTTTTTTTTTTAATTTATATGATTTTTTAAAGGTTTTTAAGGTTTATGCCATGAGTCCTTACTATAGACTTCACACATGCAGGCAGAAGGCATTTTCAGAATTAATGCTGAAAACGGCCAGGAGGAGTATGTTAGGGAACAATTGAATGGTGGAGTGGTTCCAGAAGGGATTGATGTACATTGTTTGGCGGGACTAATCAAGGTACAGCTATTCCATTTTAATACCACTTGATAATTTCTTTACATACATCTTCAGATGTATGTGGTTATGGAGTTGAACGAAAAGATGAACTTATTGCAGATAATTTTAGATATCTCAAATGTAAATTTTATGTTTTTTAATCTTTTTCTGATAAGTCGCTCACCTGGTTGAAAAATGGGTTATTGATGCTGATAATTGTGTCGGTGACTTATGGTCAGAGGTGGCTCATTACTTAAAGATGAAAAATATATTTAACACAGTGACATATTATCAGCATGCGTCTTTGCTTGCATATTCACATACATCTGGGGGAAATGGCTTTAACCATATCTTCTTTTAAATTTACCAGTTTTGTTTCCTATCAAGCCCTAATATACTAATTTGCTGTTGGTTATTCTTAGGCTTGGTTTAGAGAACTTCCCAGTGGAGTTTTGGATTCTTTATCTCCTGAGCAAGTAATGCAATGCCAGATAGAAGAGCATTGTGCTGAGCTTGCAAGACTTCTACCCCCAACAGAATCTGCTCTACTGGATTGGGCCATTAATCTCATGGCTGATGTTGTCCAGCAAGAACATCTAAACAAGATGAATGCACGTAATATTGCTATGGTTTTTGCACCAAATATGACTCATGTGAGTTTCTTGGAATTTTAACATAGATATTTCACCAGGACACACACCACTCATGTTAAAAACAGAAAAATGGAGACGGTAAATAAACTTATTCCTAAATTACATTTTCTTGAGTACTTTAAATGTGAATAAGTTCGCATCCACATCGGTTATCCAAAATAAGTACTTCTTGAGCAAAGCCTTCATTTTCCTATGTTAATACTCGTGGTCCATATCATACACACTGATACTGCTGAATTATGTGTCAAAGCATCAGGTGGTGTTGTAATGAATGGGTAAATTTGCAACAGAATCCCCAGTCCCTCCCTCCTAGATTCCTGAATTCATTGATAGTCCCTTTCCTCTCACCTTCCCTTGTCACCTTCTTCCCTCTCTTTTCCCTTTTCTACCAGTGAGAAGTCACTTAGAAGGATGGATAATTATCTTCCCCACCACATCTATTCAAGCATTGGAGAAAAAATTGATGGCAATATTGATCCCATATTGTGCTGACTGCCTTTTATGGCTTATTTGGTTGCAGATGGCAGATCCTTTGACTGCACTGATGTATGCAGTCCAAGTGATGAACTTCCTCAAGACACTTATCTTAAGGACCCTGCGAGAAAGAGAGGATTCAGTGGTAGAGCCAACTATGGCATTCCGTCTGGAGCCTTTTGATGAGAATGGAGATCAGAGCCCTTCACTCTCCCACATTCCAGATACTAAAAAAGATAATGAAGAGAAAGAGCTGGCCTTTATTGCTAAAGAACCTTTAAGAGAAAGTTTCAGGAATTATAGTCAGACCAATGAGATGACAGATGCAGAATATCACAGTCCGATATCCACTGTCAACCAGCTAATCACTGATGCAGATCTTTCTGATGAGACTTCAGCTGGGGTTGAAACCTTCTTCAGTGAAACAGATGCCATTGTGGCCAACTACCTGAAGCCTGGTACTCTAGTTAAAACTGGAAAGAGTAATATTGGTCAATCAAGTAATTCAAGTCTCAAGAAGGAGCCCAACAAAATTTACGGGCAGCAATCCATACTTCACATAACAAATCCTGTTGAGAAGACCAAAGAAATAAGCAATTTGAGCCGTATAGGTTCAAGGATAGAACGTATTGAAGCATGGCGTTGAAGGATACTCAACAGCGGTTGGGTCCTAACTGATACTTTGACAAGATTGCTGTGCATGTTTGCTGTTTTTGGAAGTTGTGAAGAAAAAATTGTGAATTTGTTCATGTATCTTTTCGGTGTGATGAGTACTTTGCTAAACCTTTTGTAATATCATGGATGGCGGTTCTATACTTCGTAGCATGACGCGAACATCTCTGCTTTCATAAAAAGTGCTATCTACTCTAACATCGGAATCCAAGCGGTGTGATTTCTTTTGTTCATTGTCATTCCCAAGATGTTCACTTTTGCCTTTTCCTCATTCCCGCATCGGTCCTGATACTCAATGATGTTTACCATGAACTGAGAAATGTTGGTGGCATGAAGCCCTTTTTCACATTAATATTCTGCCTCGTTTTGATTGAAAAGCTTATTCTCAGGTTTTAGGGTTTTGATGGACCACAAAATAGAGACAAAACTAAATTTTGATGCGCATTGCTGCCGAAAGCCAATGCATATTGTGGTGAAAGAACATAACACGACTGTGGCAACTTTGTTTCTATATTGATAACCTGCTTAGGTATGTATATAAGGACAAGCCACCAAGAATAAAGAATAGCAGCCAATCATATTCTGAAGAAAAAGGAGTGGATATGTAAAAGGGATCGGTCAGAATATTCCAGGATGCTGGTGGCAACAGAAATTACCGCAACACAAAAGCTGAAAATGGCCAATTGGCTGTGGCTCACTTTCTTCTCTAATAATCTATTAGGTTTGGAATTTTGCTCCAAAGTCCAAATGGTGCCAGCTAACCTTGTATTGCCATGGTCCTAAAATCCCCACCTCTTCCAAAGTATATTAAAAATTAAAAATGAAGGGTAATGGTTTATGTCAATTGTACTAATCAGGGTAAGCTTCAGAATCCCTGGGAACTGATCACAATACGAGAAAATTACTAGTAGGGTCATGGTGGTTAAGACTTTAAATCCTCTAACAAATGGCATAACCTCATTTCAAATACGATGGAAAAAAAAAGAGAATTGAATGACAAAGATTGAGCAAAACCAGTTCCAGTGTGGAAAATGTACAGATGATGTGAAGACGTAGAGGGTGCAAATTGTCCTCAAATCACATAAATACATCCTGGACACCACCATATTGCTACATGGTAATTTATGATTGGAGGCACACTGTTGCTATGACGTGGGATGTTGTGATTGGAACACCTAATTTCAAGCTTGGGAAAAAAAAATGAGGGTGTAATGGAATGGAACAAAATCAAAATATTTTACCTTGCCATTTTGTCTAGAACCTTGCTACAATCATGAATTCCTCTGCTTTTACCTTTAAGCTTTGATCTTGAACCCCTCATTCTAGCTTGTGAAACAAAAAAAATCCAAAATGTAGATGTTGCTACAAATAGAAAGAATGAAAACGATGATAAAATTATGTGCTAATTATCATACTAAAACTATATATAGAGTGAAAAACGTACCATCCATGAATAGTATGTCAAATCAAAATTTTACCAACAATAATGACCACCAAATTGAGTGCAAGCTCCTAAGCCACCTATCCATATTCCACTCCACTAGGTACCCTTATCAGCAAACTTCTCCAAATTAATAGCACCTTCCCCATTGATTTTTTCAACCCATGCCAATCTCGTGTTTCTTTCTTTCTATCCTCTCCGGCCTCTTTACCCTCAAAGGAGAACTTAAATCTCTTATATTTCCTTCCTTTTTGCGTGCTGGCCTTTTTTTTTTTTTTTTTGCTCTCTCTAAATTAAGTGTTATTACTTAAAGAGAAGACTGGAGAGCCAAGCCATGGCTGCCTGTGGAAGCCTTCACCACATCTTTGAAAACCCATTACCAGAAAACACAACCCTGATTGATTCCCTCTCCTCATGGAACCAAATCAAGCCAGCTATTAAACCTAGTAAGCAATCTTCTTTCACTGAAATCTTTGGTGAACTTCATTTCAAGGAAAATTCTCAATCATCCTCGGCCTCTTCCTTTCCTATTTCACCCTTTTCTCATACATCTATAATAGGTTTGAATCCTCAAAACAGTACATTCAAGCTCTCCAGGAATGATACTTTCCATGAAAATGATGAAAACAATAGAAGCACATCGCCACCAGAGTTGTTCTCGAGCACCCCAAAGATCATCATGTACACCGGTAATTGGCACGAGAAGAGTGAAAGCTTTTCATTGAACTCTGAGAGGCTGCAGCTATGCACTGAAGGGCTTGGTTTTGAGAGCTTTGATGATGTGGAGGACATGAAAAATGAGATGAAAGAAGACTGGGAAAGCAAAGAGAAGAAAGCAAGTAGTATTAATACAACAAAGCATACAACAACAAAGAATTTTCATGGTGAATTAAGGACCAGGTCAAAAGCAAGTATTGTAGGAGCATTTCCACCACCAATTTCTTGTATTGGGAAGAGTGGGAAGCCTTGGGTTTGCTTTAAGTCTTACAGACAAGATGGCAGGTTTGTGCTGAAAGAGGTAAGAATCCCTACACAAGAATTCTTGCATGCATGTAGGGAAGATGGGCGGTTGAAGCTGCAATTTGTGCAGCCAAATGATGAAATTTTGGAAGAGGAAGAATTTGGGAAGGAAGAAGATGAAGTAGAAGATCTAGAATCAGAAGGATTAATCAATGATGACATTGATGAAGGTAAAGAGAAAAGGCAACCCTGAAAACAATCTGAAATTAATGAAAAGTTCCTCGCCAAATTGCAATATATATGAAAAGAAGCAAAGGTTTAAGTAGATTTGCATGCATATATATATATATTAGAGAATGAAAGAAAAAGAAAAAAGAAACAACTTTTCCTTGTGTATTTCTTTTCCTTTTTGATCTTTTTGTAACTGGTTCTGTTTCATTTTACTTAATTCACCGTTAAAGCATCTTCATAGACCTACAGATTATTTTAGGTATCCCATTGTATGCTGCTACCAAGCAATTGTTTGTGATTAGACCACTGAGTGCCATAGCTAGTAGAGCTTGCATGTTCATTAAAGAAAATTCAATGATTCCAAAGAAAACTGCAGATTTTCCAGATGTGACAATTTCACTTTAATTCAACTAGATTTCGGATGTAGGGTGCAAAATCGGACTTTTTTTTTCAATAATTCACTCATCACCATTGCTTTAATTAGAATATTTAGAACTGTACAACATCAATAAATCATGCATGTCACAACTCACAAACTGATGTGTGTAAATTGGAGTTTATTTACTTTTATATATAATTAATAATTTTTATCATTTCAATATTTATTTTTATTTATTTTAAATAATACTTATGTGTTAAATATATAGTTGTATATTATATAAATATTTAAAATTAAATAGGAGTAGTAGTACCAGTAGTAAGCAATTTGCAAATTAAGTCACAATTGAACCAAAATTAGAAGTGAAGCAATTAGGCCCCAAATCTTGGCCATATGCCCTTAACTAGAGATTGTGAGTAGAGTTGGTAATTTAACCCATACCCGACGGATTTCGACCCAACCCAATCTTACGGGATCGATTTTTTTTTTTTAAAATTTGGGTTTCGAGTCGAGTCAGATCATGTAAGATTATGAAATAATCGGGGTCGGATTCGGGTTTTATGCAAACTCGATCCGACCCGATCTGATATTATATAAAATTTTTTTTAATTAATTATTTAATTTATATATATAATGATATTTTTAAATATTTATATTTAAAAAATAATATTTTATATTTTAAAAAATAATATTTTATTAATTTCGGTTTGGGTAAGGTTGGATGCGATTTATATAGTATCGGGTTAAGGTTAGATTCGGATATGAAAAAACAAAAAAAAATTCGGATAAGGTCAAATTTAAATTTGATAACATATAAAGTCGGGTCAGGTTCAAGGCGAGCAAAACCTACACCGAGCCCGACTCGATACCAACTCTAATTGTGAGAGAGATAGCAGCGGAGCTATACATTTGCATCTTCATGTGACACCAACAACTTACTCATCTTAATCTCTACCTTGGACATGTGAATTGTGAAACTAGCACCTAAAATTTTTCATTTTTCTTAAACACTTGCATGAATTATACACTTGATAATTTATGTATTAGTGTCATGTAAAATATTAAAAATTTATATATTTATATTGTATTTTATGTAAAAATTATGTGTTTTAATTTGTATTAACATAAAAACATTAAATATATTTTTTTATTTTATTAAATCTATTTATCATTTTGTTAAAATTTTAAACCATATTATCTTTATGTTTTTTACTTATATCGTTTTGTATTGTGTAATTCAGATTTGAAATAACCAGTCTAATTATAACATATGAGTGAGATCCACCATTGATGGAACAAAAAGGAGAAATTTTCATTACGTAATCCAAATTCAAGAAATAAATCTCTCCTCATAAAAAAAATGAAAACAAAAAGTTTTCACGTTCCATATTTTATTATAACTTAAATCTTCTTTTAGTTTTCTAAACTAATATTTACTTAAAAACAAAAACAAAAAAATAATAAAAAAAGGAGGTCAGGCCAATTTATCTGATCAGATCAACCATCTAACAACTCCACCCAAAATTAGGTCAGGCCTTTTAGCTCAAAAAACCCAAGTTCTTAAAAACATATTAAAATATAAAGGCTATTAAAATATGAATTTTAATATTTTAAAATTAAATTAAATTAAATAATTTAATATCTTGAATCGATATAAAAAATTTCTGTTCAAGGCCTGGTCCGACCGTGAGGCAGGCAGGTAGACGGTGGAGAGGTCTGGGGAGTCATATTCTGATGCTCAGATCAATACTTTGAAGTGCACGCAACCGACATTAATGCATTACTTCACAAAAGAAAAACAAAAAGTAACAGATGAGGTCTAAAAGAAAGTTATAAAGGCGTGACAAATATGTGACCACTAGCCTCGAGGGAAAATGAAAGCACAACAGAACAAGCTGAATCAAACCTTAAATAATTCAAGTTTCATGGCCCCCAATATTTTGAGATTCTGGTCCAGAATGGATTCTTTTGTACCAAACATTTCTTTCATGAAATTAAGCCAATGAAAGATAACACCAAAACTCAATCTGCTATATATGATTTTCAAGCAGTAATAAATCAAATTCAGAGAGCTGCTTCTCCGCACAAAAAACAAAGTATTTTATCGACCAGACACATGGCAATGAAGCAAGCCATGCATACTTGACGATCCAAGCCATACAAATTTTTGTTGTTTTCATTGAATCAACCATAATCAACAGTCAAAATATCCGATTTAAAAAAAAAACACAACACACGCGCAATATTCAATACTCGATGTAGGGTTGTTGTCTATTGAGATGGTTAAAGAAAGAAGAGAGCTTATCCATACTTGAGTATGATTGTCAACTACTTGATATGATTCTTCTAATGCATCATTGTCTTTGAACCCACATTCATTATCATTGTACTAAATGTAATTTGTACTTGGTAACCATCAATTTAAAATAAATTGACAATAAATAAAAAAGTTCAATTAAAATATAAAATTACATGAAACATAATATTTAACAAATCTTGTCACTTATAAACGAAAATAAAAATACGTTAAGTGATCAATTTTAAAAAATAACAATACAACTTGTTTTTGATACTATATTTAGCATTTAATCTAAATCTAATTGGTAACACATAAAAGGGTTCAACTATCACAAAATACTTTAACATTTGAAGGGAGTATAACACTGCTTTAATAATACTTTCAAAATTTTCTGTGACACTGTCTTGGAAGTTGGAACTCCTAGTTAGATTGGAATGTCAGAGCAAACAGATGGATCTTTCGTGAGATTTGAAATTGAAAGGGCACGTAAAAATGAGAAACTGCATCAAAGGGTTACTTGCAACCTATTCAACTAGCATATATGACTTGAATTATTGTAAAATTGTGATATGTCACATCATAAAACAACCCCATTTCGAGAAGATAAGAAATTTGAGAACAATCTCAATAGACACGTTTTATCTTTGATGAATGGCTTGCAGACAGAAATTGGGGATCAATGAGATCCATCTCAATAGCAAAAGTCCTAGGAAAAAAACAAAAAAAGATTTCGATACCAAAAGAGCAAAAGGTAAAACTGATAGAGCTTTGGAACACTCGATGCTAGGATAAGTGGTCCAGTAAGCAAACCTTAGAATTTAGTATATCCTCGAATGGATAGCTCAGGACCACCGGGATATAACCAATATTGTGATAGTGTTTCTTTGCTTTGCTACACAAATGGTCCCATTTTTTGCATGCCCTGGCCAGGTGGTGCGCAGGCTGAGATGTTCTAGCCGAGGGGGCGTTACTGGGAAGAAAAAGAAGAAGAAAATATAGATGGACCAGCAACAGTACAGTATGAATCACACTGAAATTGAAAACAATGATAAAAATGAGATTGATTACTGTAGTAATAAAATTAAAATAAAAAATATCTTTAGATATAAAATAATTATAACGGTAAAGTGAATTATAGTAAAAATAAAAAATAACAATTAAAGATATTAAAATAAAATTTTATATGATTTAATATTTATAAAATTAATAAATAATTAAAAATTATTATTATATTTATTGAAAAATAATTAAAAATTAATAAAAATAATAATATATCAAATAATATCTTTATTATATTACATTAATAAAATTATTTATTATTTCTAAATAAAAAATAAAATTGGAAAAACAATGAACAAAATTTATTAAAAAAAGATATTTTAATAATTATAATATTATATAAAAGATAAAAATGTAATAAATGAAAAAGAAAAAGGTCGCCAGTTGGCCATGGAGGTTAATTCGTCAGTGGCTAAAAGCCACAAAACGCACTTGATGTTTGACATCCAAATGGCGGCAGGCTCAATTGACATGAATTATTATAACAACTGGCCTTCCACTGGAGGTCCAGTTGATTCCAAACGAAGCCTAAGTCGGCATCGATCACGAAATATATACACCCCAGCTAATTCTCTTGGATTTGATTTTATCAAGATCAAACTGTGCAATGAGAACAGCTTCCTCATTGTCATTGGCAGCTGCAACAATTTTCCAAGCTGGTCCTTGCATTAAAATATTGATATTTGACCTTATTCCAGACAGGTAAAGTTGATGAATAAACTAATGAACTGGAAAATAAAAGAATCATCGAATTCATACCTGCTATAACGAAATTCCCATAGAAAGGAATCCCACTATTCCCATGCTCTGCCTCAATCATTTCCTTTCCAATGCGATTAAAAGCCATGAGAGGAACATAAATAAACACAATATCCATTAACCTTTTACATGCTAGCGCAGTTGCTCTCTGAATTTCATAACAGAAGAATAATCAGGATGACTAAGCCCTCAGTTTAACCCTTGCATCACCCGCTGCCAATGATCACAAGAATCAAGTCCTTTATCTTGTGGTTCGGAGCCAATAGCCGTAGGGTAAAACAATACCTCAGCATCTTGCAAAAATATAGCACGGGCCGCCTCTGGAAACCACTGAACCCGACGTATAGCTGACATGCAAATTCAAGCAATGACTTTGAGTTGTTTTCCACATTTTGTTTAGCAGATAAATTGATGAAATAAACAGACACGTCTGCAATTAATTTATGTTGCCAAGATATTCTGACCTCAGAACAGATCGCTATGATTGCAAACAATATTAAGGTACACCCTACTTTGATTCCTTCAAGTGACAAATGAAATATTTTCTTAATAAATTTGCGAACTTCACAACAAAAGATAATTAAACATAAGTGCAGCATTGTCTAAAAGGGAAAGGAAAAGAAGCTCTTCCCAACTCCAATCTTGCAAATTTAGCCTGGAACACCTGTTACCAACGGCATCCATAGGTTAACTAATCAAATCAGATTGATAAAAAAACACAAAGTTACTTAATGTTCTTAGTTAAACTGAGGTTTTACCAAGCACCTACCTTAAAGTCTGTATTTCCTGGATTAAAGTCGAAGTTTTCCTAGTATCCTGAAAGAGAGGAGAGGAAACTCAATGTTGACAATCAAAAAGAAAACGAATTAAATCATATTTAAGTTATGAAGCATGCATTCAATTTTCTACAGACCTAGTCCATCTTGAATATGAGATTTCATGTAGAGTCCAAGATCAGTCCCATCAGCATCAATGATGGCTATAGAATTGAAATGGACAGTGTTTGCCTCTTCAAAGAAGCTATCCGGTATCACCATACCCAACTCTTTCTCAAGTTCCTGCATCCTGAAAGTATGCATGTAGACACAAACAAGTGCAGTTGAGTAAATGATTAGAAGCTGGAAGCCAAGGCCAGGTTAGTTGTTCTTATAAGAGAAAACAGAGACATAGATACAACCAATCAACTTAAATTTAGAAGCCAATCAGTAGCCAGTAACGTTCACTCCTGAATGGTGGGGTGATCCTCCCTTTGTGCTTGACAAAAGTAATAACCCTCAAATAGTTCCTGAATACAAAAAAAGACATAAGAATGGGAGCTAAACAATATCAAATACCAGGGAATTTGTCAGTAGAAAAAAATTGAATCAATCAGACTAGCAAAAGTGCAGATGTATTGGAGCAAACGAGAGAAAATTCTGCGGTGGCACTAAATTGAAGCCATCTCGTATTTCCAATTTAGAAAGCCAGGATTTCACAACAACTTTATTATTAAGGAGTTAATGTCCATCAATTAAGAAAGAATGTAAAGATAGAATTAGGCATAAATGTGAAAAAGTTTTATCCTCGGTAACGTCATAAGCATCAAAAGTTTCAATTTTTTTTTTCTCATTTTCTCTTTGATCAGCATAATGTTTCTTTGATTTTGCAGATAAATTTTAAATGACTGACCAATTGAAACAATAAGAAAGAAAAAGGAGGCATTTTTATTTTATTTTGATTAAAACCCAATTAAAGGCAAAAGTATAATCAATGAATGAATGATTATACATGTAAGATAAAAATGATGATGCAAGTAGGAAAAGAAAAGAACCTAAAATATAAGGGCAAGATGAGGAATGAAACCAATAGCCCTTATTACCGGCTAAGCCCTTAGAACCAGTAAATCAAAACACAGCTGTTATCAGATAAAAAACAACATGAACTGTTTACAAAGTTTGGTTTATTTCAACTACTCTGTACGATAGGACATAGGGTAACTATTCAGGCCAAGCTCCACTTCCAAAATCCGACTGCATTAACCTCAGTCCTGGACTTCTTGCTTCTTTTCTTTAGAATTGAGATACCATCCCAGAGCACCACAAAAGGTTGAAACACCGGCAAAAACTGCATAGTTCCGATACTTATCAGTTAATACTTTCTCAGCAGATGCTCCTGATGTAGCGGTAGAGCTACTAGGCTTAGCATCACTCACAGTACCCCCTGAACCTGCAGCAGGTTTCTCCTCTGGTTTGGGTCCCTGAATATTTCAACAATTCATTCAATAAGTAATCACCATTTGTTACACAAATAACTCAAATTTTGTGTCTACACGACACTGTATCACAATTGATAAAGCAAAAGAATAGTCAACAAACACCTTAATCATTATCCTATCACATGACCTAGTTACTCACCATAATCTAGCACAAAAATGTCAAATACCAAACAAGTACGATCTTTGTTGCACTAAAACTATTCCACAAAAAATTACAACCAATTGAGCTGCTATAGCACATTAGCAGCTACTATAAATTTCATGACATGAGAGCAAAACCACAAGCATTTGACTTTAACATACAGAGCCCCTCTAAATAGTAGACAAAATGAAGTATGAAGCTCTGTGTTGGCATGCATACTGCCAAGTGTTTGTGCATGTATTATAAGCTGTTGTATAATATCTTGTATGTAATAAAAAGCATGACCAATAAGTTATTAATAAGATACAAGAAATATAATCGATAAAAAACCCCTTGACATCAACTGAAACACCCTAAAATATTTAGGTCATGATCAAATGATAAAGCATACCTTGCGTGCAAGTTTCTCCAATTTCTCTTGCTCAGTTTTCTGCAATAATATAACTTTTGTTAGCACAATAAAAAATCGTAACATAGAAAAATAAAGTACTCACGATCTAGGACACTTTGCTGAATCTGGATCATAAGGAAGAAGCCAAAAGAGAGGAAAGGAAGCAGCGGGGGGAGAGAGAGAGAGAGAGAGAGAGAGAGCAAGAGACACTTAACACAATCAACTTGCAATATTTAGACACAAACTGTCACTTATACAAACTTCTATAATGCATAACAAAAATATATAACATATATATACCATTATGAAGTACACACCATTTGAATTATGTGCATATGAACTCAAATAGAAATTTAAAATAGACAATTTCAAAGATATTATGATGCCCAAGCGAGAATGTAAGCCCACCAAAATGCAAAGTAGTAAGAATATTATGTGAGAAAAAAGTAATGTATGACCCCAGTTTCTTTCATCCAAACCTTTGAACCTTACAGTGTACGCGTCTACTAGAGAATGATCATCAAAAATATCAACTTATCGATAATCCCAGTAGAATCTAGAGAAAAACAAAGAAAATGAAAGTAGTTTAACCAAAAATGTTTAATAGAATGTTAGCACAACCTCAGAAAGTCAGAACCCAGAGCTCACCCGAAAACAACTATATTAATGTGTACATGATAAATGATGAAAACGGCCTCAAAAGAATGTTTACCTTGATGTAAACATTTTCTGCAGCTTTTTCCTCCTCACTGAGAATCCTCCCCCCACTTGAGAACCTACGAGGTATGTATCTAACGGCCATTCTGGTTGCCATTGTAGTTGACTATAATACCTGCAACCGGCATACAAGAGACAATCATCTAACAATTATCCCGTATCACCACCGTCAAACAGAGTCAATTTCTCTCAAAGCGACCATAGATATAATCAAACTAGAACTAGGTAACCAAAATTCATAACACTTTAAATTGAAAGTATCGAATAAGGTCCTACAAAAAGAAATCCTTCAGGCTTCAAAGACCTCAATGATCAAACGATCTAAGAGTCTAAGTCAACAATGTTCTAAATACCCAATGAATCATCATCTTTAGGCATTTGAAACTAAAACACAAAATTTATTTTTCGTTTCCTTTCTTTCATTTCCATTTTTGCGTCCATTTCATCAATCCTAGACATGGATTAAACCGAGGATTACACAGTTTATCGGATTAAATTACAATAAATAAGCAAATAATTTTCCATGAATAAATTTGACCATAACTCCGATTAAATGATCAAAGAAAAAAGCAGAAATGCGTAGAAAGAAAGAGCAAAAAGAAAAATGGGGTAAGAGAGAAACCGCTAACCGAGCAGCCGAAGCGGCGAAGGGTAAGAAATTGTTGTGGAAAATGGAAAGAGCTGGTTACTGGTTAGGTCTCACTGTATACTGTGTAGGATTTGTATGGAGGGTTTTAAAATGGGCCCTGTTTTTACCGAGGGAAGCCCACCGCCGTTTAATTGAAGAAATAGATTATTCCATCGCATCAGGTTTACGATACTAAATTTTAGTGATTTATATTTGAGTTGTATTTATTTTATGTTAAATTTGTATTAAATATAAAATTTATTGTATTATAATTTATATTAATATTTTAAATACATAATATATAATTTTTATTTTTCAAAATTTATATATAAATTTTAATAAAAGTTTAAATTATATTATTTAAGTTTCGTATTGTATTTAAAATTTTTAAATTTATAAAATTTTATGAATATGATGCTTAAAAGAGTTTTTCGTTAATTTGGGTTTAAACTAAAGTAATTTCTTCTCTCAAATTAAAATAAAATAATAATATTGTTGAGGTTTTTCCCATGAAAATGGATAATATTGAAATATGAACATTTAAAATTTATTACTCCAGAGTTTTTTCTTTTTGGTCATATACAAATTACAGAGTGAGGTAAATTTTGAGAAAGAATTGTATTTGAGTCATTTACTACTTTTCCTTTATAATTTTTTATTTAATTAAAAAGAACTAATCTTGTTACTTAAATTCACCAATTTTTTACTTATAGAAAAATAGATTTGCTGGATTACATGGTAATTAACTAATATGCTAAATATTAGTAGTAATTTTTAGTTTTCATAAAAATTATTTCGATATAAGTGATCTTGTATTTTTATATTATTACTTATTGGATTGAGAGAGAAGTAATTCCTAACATTTGTGCTTTATTCTTTAACTTTCAAACAAGTTATTTTGAAAATTGTTTAACTTTAATTTTGAAACTAAAATTAACACAATACCATGTTCAGAAAATAAAAAAAGAAAAAAAAATTTCATTACATTGCTATGAGGAATGTGGAGGCTAAATTCACTAAAAATAGATTTTGTGTATTAATGCGTGTTTATTTTATATAAAATATGATAATTAATGTGTAAAATATATATCAACACATTAAATATGAAATATATTTTTATTTTTATTAAACTTACATACAAATTTTACTAAAATTTTAAATTTTATTATTTTAATATTATTTTATATTATTTTTATGTCATATAATTTTATCGTATTTGAAGTTATATAATATAGTGAAAAGGAAGTTGAGATATTATTTGATTAAGAGAAGTTCATGACATAAAATTCGAATTTCAATCAAGAAAATGGTACAAAGTTATCTTCTTTAACGTGTTTGAAAATATATTATTACAATCTTTCTTGTTTTCTTTTACATAAAATGCAATATAAACATTATAAATTTCACATTCTACACACCAAATAAAAAGCTTTACATATTTTAAGCTTCATGAAAAAAGTATCCACCAAAAGTCGTGCTAAAACAGGAAAAAAAAAGATTAGATGCTATGTAGAATAAACGAAGAAGAAAGAGGCGAAGAGGATTAAAGCGAAGCAACCGGAGGCAGTGCAGTTAGTGGTGCCACTATTAGAGCCATGGTGATGATAACGGTTATGGTTCATGGCCCCGGCAGCATAAACAGGTATTACAGCTCCAGCCTGCCCATCGGGTGACTTTGTCCCTCCACTACCATTATCCCCAGCAGCAGCGCCTGTGTTGCTATGTTCTCCTCCTGCGCCACGGGCGCCACCACCGCCACCACGCCTTCCTACGGCTTCGATCTCATGTTTGCCTCCTAGTTTAACTAAGAGTGACAATTTCTTTGGTACTATCGGTTCTCTAGTACCAATATATTTTTCTTGATTGAGGTCTGCAACAGAGGCATAGTGTCACATGATTCCTAAATTCAGAATATTAGTTATGAAGGAAAATTGTTATAATATATACTCTAACCGTTTAACATCAACTATTTCTAGGATTGGATTAATAAAGTTGTAATTAAAAACGGTAGCCTAAATTTCCAGTGAAAACACAAATAATGAATTTATCGGTAAAATTTTTGTTGAATCAAAACCAGAAAATAATTGAAAACTAAAGCAACCGAAGAGTACCTGCAACCATGGAATTTTGAGCAAGTGCAAGATGAAGCTGAAGGGAAAACAGCAAAAAGAACGCACCCAGTCCAAGTCCCAGCTGTTTGAAACTCAATTTGAAGCCTGCTGTTTCCATGATCATCAGTTTCCCAAATGAAAGAATCTGGCCTAGCTTGCAAAAATTCATCTGTTTCATTCAAATCTAGCGTCAGCATCCTTCAAGTCATCTTCAATGTAATGTATATAGGCTTTAGCATACAGCACTAGTTGAAGGATAGAATATTAATCATCCTATCACGTATTTGTTATTTACTTAAATAAAAAGATTAGAATATTGAAAGAATTTGATATCCTAAACCAATAGGACAACACTATCTTTCGAAAAAATAGAAGATTATTTTTAATTCATGAGAATAAATTTATATATTTTATTATATTTTTTAAAATTATATTAATAATTTAAATTATATTAATTTTAAAAAAAATAATTTTGATCAATAAATAAATTATCTTATCTTAATATTTGCCTACATCAAACTTAAAATAAAATAATATTATTTAATTTAATCTTATTCATAACATTATTTTATCTTGTCATATCATAATTTTGTGTATCAAACTTCACTATAATTCCTTAGAATATATCAGCCAAAGGTTTCCAATATAAAGCGTAGAATAATAGGTCCTTTCTTTATAAAAGTTGGCAACTTGTTTTTATTCCATCCTCATCCAACCGCCCATTAAATCTTCAGAAGAAAAAAAGGGCTTGAATGTTCTTATTGTTGCATTAGTCTCTAATTGTGGACTAATTAAGTATGTTTACTGGACTTAAATTAGGTAAATGTTAAGTTCATTGAAGCAAATTTGAATAAGCAGCATAACTAGTAGTATTTTGTCTAAGTGAGACCTATTATTGAACCCATAATGGAACGACACATTGTCTGCTAATGAAATGGATCCTTAGTCCTTACAATTGTCTTATATTTATTGCATGTGCATCAAGGGAGGAGAGTTATTCTATTGAGTTTCAAGATGATAAAATATTTTGTATTCAATGAATTTTAATTTATTTCAATAGGATATAATTAAATTTAACAAAATAAATCAAGGTGGGGTCTTTTTTTATTGTTTTTTTAAATTGAGATTAGATTGAAGTTGGATTTTAAGTAGCATTACCCCAATCTAATCTGAGTATATATAGCACAAATATATTTTATTGTTTATTTAATTTATATTAATATATATTATATTAATAAATTATTTAATATATTAATTTAAAATATTAACTTAATAAAAATATTACATTTATATATAATTACGGTGGAAGCCCAGCTTCGTTCAATATTAATATTTTATTGAGCTAGTTTTTGATAATGTTAAAATTAATAAAATAAAAATTTTAATAAGAAAGTTTAGCAAGTAGTAAAATTTTGTTAAACAAATATAAAGAGTTAACATAAATTGATAATTTAAGAGTAGTTTAACATTGAGAATTGCTTATAGAGAAATAATACTATAACTATAATTATCATTATTTTACCTTGCATTGTAGAAATGTTATTGTTGACCTCAACAAATTATCTCCAACTATTAATTTCAACTTTTTGACAAAATCCTCATAACTAATCTTTTTAGCCTAATGAAGCATTCAAAAAGAAATAATACCAAAGAATAGAAAACTTATTTAAAAGCAAAGGAAACTAACAATTAAATATATTATCAACATATCTTGAAATCTTCATAAAAGTATTTCAAATTCTAAACATAATGGTAACTAATTCAATAAAATGAAGTAGTAGATAAACTTAGTTTTACTTTTCCCAAAGGTTAGGATAGGAACAAAATTGAGAATTTGTAACTTAGGCAAGAAAGGGAGAATCTTACAATAGACAATCAAGTAGCAAATGGCAATTCATTTAGCTAAATTGAAGAAAGTGCTTTTTAAAGAAGATATAATAAAACTGTGAAACCTAATGAAACAAAAACAGTTAGATTGGGAGGTTGATCTTTCCCTACAGTAGGGTTAGTCTACCAATAATAAACTGATATTTAGCTAATTTAACAACTCATTACAGGTGAAATGAGACACATTAGGAAAAATTAAAATCAGCTCTAGATCAACGTAAGATAGGTCTTTCCAATTGAGATAGCAGCAAACAACATAGGGAAAGGAATCCATAAGGATTTAAGGGCCATTGAAGTGTTTAAACCCATAATAGGATCATTTTCTTAGGATCCACCTGAATATGAAGTTTGGTGATTAATAATCCCTTAAATAACAAAATAATATCAGCAGTAAATATAAGTAAACCTCACCCAAAAAATAATAATATCAAAACCTACATATTCAACATGCACATATCTTGAGTATAAATGTTGTTTGAGTTGCTATATAACATAAAAACATAAGAGCAAAGATTGCTTCGTGATAATGAACAATGTGAATTTACGTATTATGAGTAAATCTAACTCGATGAGTAGCAACAGTGAGTGTGTATGCCCATAGATGTGGTAAAATTATATATAAGAAGATAGTAGAAAGCTACCTAAAACAACATCAAAGTATCTCAACTGAAAAGATGATCATAGAGTACTATAAGATAAACCTTTGACATCAAAGTTTCAAAGATTGGAGCAACAAGTGCTAGCAAGACCAGTAGCTCATTGAGTGATGGAATGAGATGGCAAATGCATTCTACCCTTTCTTGTTCAAAGTTTCAATCCTTATATAAACTGCAATAACCTGGAATATGTGTTGATGAGTGGCAGTGCCAAAGAATATTTTTCGGTAGAATTACTTAAATGTATACGAATGAGAAATTTGGGTGCATCAAATGTTCATTTGACAATGGTGAAACCATTGTTTTCCTTGTTGCCTCATAGCTTAAAAATATGTAGAAGACAACATTACCAATGCCATTACCAGTGCCATTTATGGCATTGGCAATGGCTAAAGGTTTCAGTCATATCCATCTAATTTTAAAAAAATAATAATAACATATTGAATCTTAAAATGAAGAAATTGATAAATGTTAATAAATTTTAAAATGAGCATTTAGCTTCTGTAAATTTTTAAAAAAATATTTTTGGATACTAATTCTAACAATTGTTCAATGCCTCAATTTGGCCAAATTGTTCAATATGTTCACAATCAATCACAAAATATACTTTTATTTTGTTCTTAAACCAAGGTCAATACCTTAAAAAAATTAAGAGACAATGGTGGTTGACTTTTATTTGTGTTTTGAACAAAATCTACCATTTGTTTTTGTCAAAGGAAGAATCATGGGCATATAATTCACGCTTTCTTCAAACCTTGCAATCAGTGATTGAAATTTTATGTAGCTTAGCACTATTGACTGTATTCAATAAGATGACAACAACATAAAAAATAACAATAATAACAGCAACAACAACAACAACAACAATAATAATAATGATAATAATAATTGTCTAAGTTTCCATAATCAATTACTACAAAAAAGAAAGGTGCTAGTCTACCTAAATAGTTTGATAGAAGCAAAAAAAAAAAAAAAATATTTTAATTTAATGATTAAGGTACAAATTAACTTGTATTATTATGTAATTAGATGATTACTTTTATGACATGCTCAAAACACACATAATGTGCATTAACATAATAGGGCAAGGAAAACCATTTTATCATTATGTTATGACTCAGGTTTTTACAGTCTCCACAACTTATATACTTTGCAAACTCTCCCACATCATTCCTCCTTTTTATCTAGACATTACTATTACATACATAAGAATATTTTTAATTTAGTGCAGGCCTTGATACATTCTGCTATCTAAAATTATCTTCTAAAATAATTAAGCAAAAGAATATCACATAGCTCATTTCAATAAAGTGATATCTTACTAGCCAATATAAAAAAAAAATACCTTAAGTATAAAAATTCACTCTTACACCCCATAATAGAAAGTACTAAGGCTAAAATAATAGATTAACAATGTTTAACTCCATGAAAAAAAGACAATTAAAAGACTACCATTGAATCTTTATAGTTTATTGGACTACTTACATCTTGCAAATCCCTGAATCTTACACACCAATTAGCTTCAAACCCCGTAAAATTGCTCTCTTGCAAATCAAATCAACAACATGGCAAAGAGGAATAAATTTATAACACATATAGGAAGGTTTATAAAAAAAATTAAAAAATGACCAATCGAATATTATCAAATTGAAAAAAAATGAACTTTTATTCCATCAAATTATAGATAAAGCTATGACTTCTTGCAAGATTAGAACTCTAATTTTATGCTTGGAACCAAGGCAAGCTTATAAATTACATTCAAGCTAAAATATCTAGAGGTAAAACCAAGGGCATAGATTAACTTTCCATAACATTCTAAAATTTTAAAAGCTGACATACTTACGTGAAAAAATCCAAAAAGCTATTTTGTTATTCTCTAAAGCACATTAACATCATTAGTAGTAAATGGAACCTATTGTAATATTGGGTATTATAATCCTCAAATGTGAAATATTAATGAAATGTGTATATGCACATGTCTCTCCATTAATATGCCATGTTCTGAGTATGACATAAAAGAAAAAAAATACCTTTAAGTATGAAAGTTTACCTTTGCACCCACATCCCTGCAAGCATAATGAAACCTCATTGCAAAGGTTTCAAAGAAAAATGCCGATGTTGAAATAATTTATTAACAATGTTTAACTTGATTAAAAGAAAAAAAAGACAATGAAAAAACTACCATTGAACCTTTATAAAGCATTAAAGTGCTTACATCTTGCAAATCCTTGAATTTTACACCTTAATTCATTTTAGCCTACAAACTTGCTCTTTTGCAAATCAAATCAACAACATGCAACCAATATAAAAATATAATAGAAACAAATATTATCAAACAGCATCCAATGAAACAAAATCCTATTCATACTATTATCCTAAATACTTTAACAAACAAAATAGCAAACTATTGATTCATCTTAATCGAATTAGGAAATAGTCTTGAACAACTCCAAAATAATAATAATAATAATAAAATAGTAATCAAATAAATACCATAAAGCAATCTAAAAAAAAATTCCATTCCACCCATCATTTATAATATCTAATCTTAAACAAAACTATCTTTAAACCATTTCAAATCAGAATAAAACAATATGCAAATCTCAAAACACTAACAATGAATCAAATACAAAAATAACTCAAAACCAAACATAGCAATAAAAACATTCACCTGTAACCAAAAAAAAAAACACAATTCAAATAAATGTCACCCAATAACATACAACAAAAGAAAATCTCATTCAAACTATCATCCCAAAACCTAAAAATAAAAATAAAAACCAAACTAACCACTCATTTTTAACTTAATCATAGAACAACACTGAACAATTCTTGGAAAAAAATAGCAATAAAATATAAAACACAAAGCAATTTGAAAAAAATTTCATTCCAACAATTATCCATACAAACCGAATCTCAATAATACTACATTTGAATAATTTTAAATTAGACTAAAACAACCAAAAAACACAAAACCCCCGCAGACAAAAAAGAAACAATATAAGAAACAAAAAATAGAAAAAAAAAAACCCTTCCACTCCAATTGATGTTATCTCGTGCTTTCCCCTTTCTTTTCCACTTTATTATTCCTTTTTCTTTTCTTATTTTCCTTTCCCTTTCCGCTCCAGATTCTTTCTCTTTGCTTTTCTTTCTTTTTATTTGTTTCTAAAAAAAAAAAAAATATTCAAAAAGGAACCCAATAGGTTTATAATAGAAACCTAAATGTCAATTTCAATTACAGATTTTCAATTTAAAACATCTGACTGTCATCTATGTGTTAATACCAGAGTACCAACCGACACTCAAAAATTGATGAAGAGTTTAAGCAAAGGAACCCTTCAGTGGCTAATAAGAAGAAAAAAAAAAATGACAGATGACAAAGTCAGGATCTTTAAGGGATCTTTTTTATATATAGTTATATTGATTAAGACGTAATTTATATTAAAAATAATATTTTATAAATATTAATTAAGTTAAAATTATTAAATTAATTTAAAGTCGATTGTGGTTTATAAATAGATGGATTAATTAGGTTTGAAAAATAATATTTTGATATTAGGTTGAGTCAAAATCAGATATAAATATTTAGGGATCAGATTGAAATCAAGACAAAAAAAAAAACCTACCTGATCTACTTGTTGTCATCTCTAATTGAATTCGTTCAGTTCGGTTGAAATGGAGGGAAAAAGTTTAGTTCCTCCTTTCCTCTTAAAACCAGTCACCATTTTCACCTCAATTTTGTTTTCCTTGCATGCATGGTCGACCAGGAAGGAAACCACAAGCTCAGGTGCTTCCCGTGACAGCTCTTCTCACCGGCAGTGGCTCCGGCAACCACGAATTGATGGGTTTTGGTTTCTACCAATCTTAAGATTAGTGTTTAAATTCGGCTTTGCGCATGAATCAAATGACTTGGTGAGCTAGGCTTAGTTCCAACACTTATTTCTTACATTGAGGTCGGTAACTTTTTTTTTTTGTTTCAATGGTAACTTTGGTGAATTACGTTAATACTAATACATGAGTTAACTAAAACAGGAATTTTCAATGGTCAAACTAAAGCAGGCATTACTTATTATCTTTTCTTTATATGACCAAAACATTATTAAATATTATATAAAATTTAAAGGTAATCCCTACTTAGAATTTACAGAACAGAAATACCCTGAGAAGAGAAAGAAAAATGAAAAATTATCCGCCTGAATTCTAAACGAAAAAACACCTATTTAAAACGGTAGGAGAAAGAGATAGGCGACCAAGGCCAAAATGAGCTAATCCAAGGAAATGCAATTGAGGGTGCCACCATTGTAGCCAGGACGGGATTCATGGCCCCTGCGCCATACAGAGGAGTTACAACTCCACCCTGCTTATAGAGTGATTTTTTCCCTCCATCGCCACCTCGAGCCACTACTACTCCATCGCATCCTCCTTCTCCTCCCCTGGCACGGTCACCTCCAAAGACCACCTGCACCATTGCCAAGCCTGCTTACGTCTGTGATATTTTGCTTATCGCCCAATTTCACTAAAACATTGACAATCTCTTTCGACAATTTTGTATGTAAAATTTTGTTTTTGATTGAAGTCTACAATAAAATTAGCACCATGTCAATGGCATTTCATCAATTAATTAGTCCATTTCTCATAATTCACAAATAATTCATGATAAACTGTCAAAATATACCGGAATCCATATATAGAGACGTACATATCTTGGATCCCATATATGCTCAATCACTTTTCCGTTTTTTCTTAGACTAAAGAACCAATGTGGAATGTTTCATACCTTGCTACTCGGATAAGTAAGGAATGCCCACTTTTTCTTGGGGCTTGCCGAGGGAATGAAAGTTTTTGGCTGAAACTTTAAAGAAAGTTTAAAGATCAATAATTCTTCCAAGATATTCGATCAACCATAAGCTCTTAACAGTCACGCAATCACAAGATTTCAAATAGATAAAAACAATTGTAACCCATTTTCTTAGCTTGACAATTTACTCTGAGTTTCATGATCATAAAAATCGAAATAACCAGCAAAGCTGATAATCCCAATTGATGTTACTATATTTTGTAAGCTTTCAAGCTTGGTAGCAAGTTCAGATGCTCTTCTTGATAATTAAGAACCCATTTCATCATCTATATGATACCAATATTATTATTAATATTGATTCAAATCTCAAAATAATTGATAAAAGATTTTTTGAGATATTTATGAGATTAGTTAAGATACCGTTTGGTGACTAAGTTCACTTAATGTATAAATTAATGTCGAGGAATCTCATAAAGTGAGATACGAGAGAGCTGTAATTTTTATAAAATCTTTATGTGAGAGATGGGTATGTAGACCAGAAAAAATTAAAGAAAATATCAGATTATATAAGATAAAATAAGAATATTTTATGTATTTAAACATTAAAAACATAAAATTAAAATTATTTTAGATTCAAGATCAGCATTTATTTATCGAATATGTTATATTCCTTGTAATCTTTAAGTTGTAATCTGTATGGAATGTTTTTTGGACGGATTACTAACGCTTGTGATTTGATTCTAATCGAGTATTACCTCATAAAAGTTTTATTCTATAATAAAAAAGCAAAAAAGCATATGCTTCGAAGATAAAATCAAAAAGCAACAAGAATTGTCTATTGATGGACAAGAATTGGAAAGATAGAGCAATAGCCAAATATACTTAAAGAGTCTCGAAGGGATTGGAAGAGAATTTTGAGGAAGTGCAAGAAAAGGATGAAGCTGAACAGAGAGCAGCAGAAAAAACAATGTTTTTGAAACCCATTTTGAAGCCTGGTTTCGGTCACCCACAATTCACCAACTCAATAAATCCACGGGCTGGCTATGTTTCTTCCAATGGTCCATTTGATTGGCAAGAAAAAGGGCCTGAATCATATAAGCATAATACATAATCCCATGATTTTATTTTATTTCTCAAAGATAAGTCTTTAACTCAAAAAAGGAAAAAAAAAAAAAAGAAAAAGGATAAGATGATTGTCTTTGGCCGAAATTTTTTTTTCTATAACTAGAAAACGGAAAATTCACACACTAGAATACATAAAAAAAAAAAAAAATCAATTTCAAGAAAAAAGATGGAACACCAAATTAATCTCAATAATAAAACAAACTGGCATGTTGAAATTTTAAAAAAATAAAAATTTTTATAAATTTTTAAATTAGGCTAAGGTCTTCATCTTTGTTTTTCTCTTTTAAATGAAAAATAAAATGCTAGGAGTGAAGAGATTTAATCATACTTATGTAAAACCTTAATAAAGTCTCTCACCAAATTTTTTATTGGACTTAAGATTTACATATGCCATCCAACTATAATGTCCCAAATGAGATGTATAAAGCTCATAATTAAACTGATCACTTTAATTTAATTAGGTTTATTCGTACGTTTCTCTTAAATCAAAATTTATCAGCCCATCATACAAACCAAAATTACAATTATTGTAGACAGCCATAAGGGAAAATTATAACTTATTTACATAATTATTAATTTACTTACCATTGTCACTTTATTTGTTTATTTATGAAAAACAGACTTATATTTCATGTCTTATTTGAGTTAATTATATGAATTAAAGATATTTACATTTTATTGCACACATCAATTATCTAAATGTTTATATGGTCAAGGTTACTAGGGTTAAACTCCATTGGAGTTTTGCCCAAACTAATATATATATATATATGTGTGTGTGTGTGTGTGTGTGTGAAAGGATTCATTTACATTAGTATAAAACTAAAATTTTACATTTATATATATATATATATATATATATATAAAGAGGATCCACTTATACTTTATAAAACTTTTTTAATTTTATACATTTTTTAATTGTTGATTTTAATAAATTCAAAGAATGAAATTAAACCATTCTTTTTTATTTTTACTTGTCTCTCTTATTCTTGAATCTATTAAAATCAAGAATTAAAAAATATGTAAAATTATTTTTATTTTTTTATTATATATATTTTTTGCGCGATTTATTAATCATGGTTTGCAAACAGGATTGCAGGAGAGATAAATCCGAGCAACTAATTGTTAAACTATCGATCTTTGGCTTAACAATATGATTGGAATCCAATAATTATTTGTGTAGGGTCGAACCAATTATATTATTCATTTCCACAAAAATGCAGTCCTTTAAGATATGCACCTTTGATAAATTTGCCGGCGTTGAAAACTTCCAAAAACGCGTTTAAACATTATATGCCATAGGAGCTTCTAGCTCCTTATACGTACATTTGTACATGTTTTGCTTAAATGAAACATGACTGCACGTTTATAATTGCTGAAACAACTGTTGGTGATCAGAAAATTGAACCAGCTAGCTGGCCAATGCCTGAAGGTGGCATGACCATCGTGCTCACCATTCAAATTTTGCATAGAATTATAACTCTAATCGCCCTTTTCCTATAAATATCAAAGAAGGATGTCTTTCCTATATATCATAATTGTCATCTCATCTTCATTTAGTAATTGTTAGGAGAAAATGAAGATGTCAGCTGCAGCGGCTGCTTTGGCTCTACCCCTAATTGGTCTCATCCTTGTGAACTTCACAGGGCAATGCCACGCTGCTCTTCAGGTGGGATTTTACAAGGATAAATGTATGTCAGATACAGATGTTGAGGACATTGTTTCCTCTGCAGTCGCACGAAGAGTCAACAGGGATAGAGGACTTGCAGCTGCTCTCATTCGTTTGCATTTCCATGACTGCTTTGTCAATGTAAGCTCAATGCATAAATTTTTCTTTGTTCTGTGTAGTCTACCCTAGCTAAGAAATGAGTTTAAACGATTGAATTAATTGCTGTTAAAAGGGATGTGATGCATCAATTCTCCTAGACGGTGCCTCCAGTGAGAAAACTGCACCTCCAAATCTAAGTGTGAGGGGTTATGATGTTATTGAAGAAGCAAAGCGTGACGTGGAGGAAGCCTGTCCAGGAGTCGTTTCTTGTGCTGATATCATAGCCATGGCTGCCAGAGATGCAGTAGAGTTGGTAACTAATTACGCTTTTTTCTTTTCTCTTTTCTCGTTTTTTTTTCCTAAAAGATACAAAAGAATTTAAAAGCTCATTACCCCAAACACTTGATGGTTGATGATAAATTTTGTTTCCTTTCATGCAGAGTGAAGGAGGGCGATACAATGTTGAGACGGGCCGTAGAGACGGTTTGATATCTTTGGCTTCGAATGTAGATCTCCCCTCTCCAACATTTTCAGTTTCTCAATCCATGGCAGCATTTTCGAAAAAAGGACTTAATCTTACAGATATGGTTTTACTTCTTGGTATGTTATTTCTTTTACTTGGGACATACTTAAGTTCTGAAGTTGGATTCTTTAAGTTGCAACCTCCTCGTAGATGGGGAGAGTTGCTGTCACATATATTTGGGTTAGGGTTGATTAGTGATAGGTTTAAATTTCACCTACAATTTGTATATTGATATCGTATTTTTTTCTTATCAAATGCATGTGAAACATAAAAATTATCATGTCACCATATTAAATATGAATTTTTTTTTTTATTTTTATTAAATTTATATATAATTTTTACAAAAATTTTAAATAATATTACTTTCATATTTTTTTTGTATCGTACCAACTTATCATGTTTAAAATTGCCAAATCAAATGATGGATTAAGCTACATTAAGAAATATACAATAGCAGTAAGTACTAATTTCTATGTTGAAACTTCATGGCATATAGGTGGTCACACAGTTGGGTTTACACATTGTTTACTCTTCCAAGACCGCCTTTACAATTTCCAGAACAGCGGGAAGCCAGACCCGACAATGGATCTAATGTTACTTAAGCAACTGAGATTTATCTGTCCACAAAATTCAACACGCAACACACCTGTTAGTCTTGACCAGAATCTTCTCAGTACATTTATTGTCGACAATTCCTTCTACAAGCAAATAATAGGCAAAAGAGGAGTCCTTCAAATTGATCAAGAGCTGGCCCTGGACCCCTTGACCAAAGACACAGTGTTCAGTTTAGCCACCTGCAATGGCTTCCCTGTTAGGTTCGGACAGGCAATGGTTAAGATGGGAGCTGTTGATGTCCTTACAGGCTCACAGGGGGAGATTAGGAAATCATGCAATGTTACCAATAATGATTCCAACGTCCTTGGTTTTTGATTGATCTGTCTTTTGCTCTTTTTTTTTTATATTTCTTGGATGAATATTCTTTTTTTTTTCTTGGTCCTTGTTCTGATTTGATGGTCCTTAACTTCTATAAAATAAGTGTACTAAATGAGTGCACGTAGCACTGTCCTTTCTTATTATGTTGAGTTCCAATTTCTTGATTACGTCTCTGATCTTCGTTGGCTGCGAGTAAATTAGTTAGAAACTATGTACATATTATGGAACTTGATTCTCCGACCCTGTCTATCCATATGAACAAAAATGGGCAGTATGTGGCAACTCAACTGTTGGTAATGAGGTGTCATAAGGATCCAATTGGTGATCTTCACCTGTTGGAGCCACCAAATTGGCCTGGAAGAATATACATATACAAATTACAAATTACAAAGCAATGACCTTAACAAAACTCTATAAATAGTATCATCTTTGAAAGTTCAAGCACCCATCCAGCATATCAATTGAAACAAAAGTTTTAACTTTTCTAATATGCTTCAAGAACTTCCACCCTGAAATTCCTTTCTGTTCTGTTATCTTATTTGCCAATTGCCATTGTCCAAATGACCTTGGCTGGGCTGCAGACCAAAACAATGTTGTTGGAAACTTTTTCACATTCACAGGGATGAAGACCTTGTTAACGAAGACTTCCTTGCAAATTGTGTTTTCTGAATTAAGAAGCAGGAACAATGTGATATGCACAAAGCTTAGCATACTTTTTTTTCTCCTTTGGCCCACTTTGGCTTCATGCTTGCATTAATTTGGGTCTCAAGAACAACAAAATGGGGCAGCTTAATTGTAAAAACAAGTGCTGTATGGCTTGTTCTAGGCCGCTCATGAAATTCCCAGCTAGATGCCACCAATGCTATTATCTACCATGGCATAACCAAAACAAGCAGAATGTGGCAACTAACCTGTTCACAAGTTCTTAAACTCATTTTTGCTTTGTGGCAGATGAGGAATATGTGCATATTCTCTTTAATATTTTGGATTTATTTTATCGGCTAAAGGACAATCGAAACAAACACAAATACAATGTCCTTTGTGATTTTCACCTAGTAGGCACCATACAAACGGCCTGCAGCAATGCTAAGTAAAAAGCAACGGCCCAAACATAACTCTATAAATGGCACATTCCTTCATAGTTCAAGCACCTCATCCAGCACACGTAGTGAGTGTTGTACGAAAGTAGTGACATACCAGAATTTACACGTCTATACATTAAAATTTCAACCATGGCCTCAAGAATTTCGACCCTGGAATTCTTCTTCTTTTTTTCTGTTATCTTAATTTGTTATTACCTAAATGGCATTAGCCGGAGATGCAGACATCACTTCTGATTTTTCAGTCCCACCAGACGTAAAAATATTGATGGCACCTTCTTCTCATTCACAGGGATCCGAGCCCTAGCTGGTAATCCCACAAATTTTACAGTCACGAAAGCAAGTGTCGTAGAGTTCCCTGCTCTAAATGGGCAAAGTGTTTCTTACGCTGTTCTTCAATTCACAGCCGGTTCTACCAATCCTCGTCACAGTCATCCTCGTTCCGCTGAGCACCTTTTCCTCACCACCGGCTCCCTTGAAGTTGGTTTTGTTGACACTACCAACAAGCTTTTTACTGAAACTCTACAAGCTGATGACATGTTTGTGTTCCCCAAGGGACTTGTGCACTTTCAATACAATGCTGACGCAAACAATCCAGCTGTAGCAATTTCTGCTTTCCGAAGTTCAAATGCTGGAACTGTATCGCTTCCTAAAACTCCTTTTGCCACCAATATTGAGGATGACATTTTGGCCAAATCCTTCAAAACTGATGTTGCTACATTTCAAGCACTCAAGTCAGGTCTTGCATCCAATTGAAGATGCTTACTATATATGTTATGAAAAGTTTTTACGATTATGCGTTGAATAACCATCCCCTGTTAATCTGAGTGTTCTATTTATTTATTTTTATAAAAGAAAGTCGCAATCTAGAATAAAAGAAGAGGTTATTGGCGTTTGAATTCTAGACATGTAGACACATTTGATGCCACCTTTAAAGAATGATTATATGATTTAATTGAACCAAATTTGTGTTAGCGTTCTGTAATTTGACATTTGTTTAGCTGATCGATTAATTCATGGTTTCTCTCCCTTGTCTTTTCGTGTTGGACCTCCCAAAAAAAACCTATATATATATATTCCAGAAACAGTGAAATGGATGGAGTATTGCTATTCAACTTAACTGTCAAATAGAGCGGATTAACTTAAACAAGAAAATGAAACCAGGAGGAAATTGAGGCAATGAAAAACACAAAAATGTCGTAATATATAAATATAAACTTTAAAAACCAGACCTCGAAGACAAGAGCCAAGGCTTAAGACAAAGCCATTGGTTTAGTTTAACCTTCTGTTTGGAAAAAGACTCGTAAACCTACAAAGCCATCCTAGGACGGCCTGAAGGTCTCAATCCTACTAACATATCTGTGATTTTACACTTCAGTTTTAACACCAGAACAAACATTTTGGATTAGTCGTCTCCATCCAATGGATTGTATTTTTCCTTGTGACCGACCAATGATCAAAAGCTCAGTGCTTTCTTTTGAATCGAAAAAGTATTTCAAGAGCTTCTCATCATAAATGAAAGGTTCAAGGGATTAGCCTGAATAAAAACAAGTATACCTTTCTTTTCTTGTCCGGTTTTCGCGCCTCTTTCTTCCTAGTTTCACTCTCCATTTAGTGTTAAGAAATTGCAGAGCTTTTTTTTTTATTCATTTGACAAGAAAATTTTGCAAGACTAGTTATCATTGGGGTTTTAACTCAATTAAGTTCTTAAATGCAATGCCATGTTGTTCACAACTATGGTAGAATCCACACACTTTTTTAATCAAAGATAGTACTCCTTTCATAAAGGATATCTACTTATAACGGAAGATTCAATCTAAAAAGTACCAGGGACATGACAATAAGTGAAGATACATTCAGAACCATTGATTTTGTTCTACTCAAATAAATCCCAGGACAACCAAGTTGGTTAAAACTACAAAAAAGTATCACATCGAATACCAAAAGTACTACCACCAAAACTGAAAGGTAGATTGCTAGAATAGACGGTGCTAGTTTACAGCCTTCTCCCTCTTCTACCACCCTTTCTACGGGTGCTGTCGGTGGGAATGGGAGTCACATCCTCTGGAAAAATAGAATAACAATAAAAGAATTTCACAGTAAAATGCCAAAGAAGATTACTTCTCAGCATTCAAATATACTTCTCAGCATTCAAAAATACTTTTAAATAGTTAAAAAAAAATGCCTTACCAATACGGCCAATTTTCATCCCAGAGCGAGCAAGAGCCCTCAGAGCAGACTGAGCACCTGGACCAGGAGTCTTGGTTTTGTTCCCTCCTGTAGCACGTAGTTTGATGTGAAGAGCAGTAATTCCAAGTTCCTGTTCAGTATCAAAAATTGCAATTTGTCAATACCAACATAAATCAGAAAGTAATGTTGCATGTTGTTTAGAACAAATTAACATATATTATATAAAGTGACAATTTCAGGTTCTTGTTAATAGATAAAGAAGTGGTATATGACCTTGCATCTCTGGGAAACATCTTGTGCAGCAAGCATAGCCGCATAAGGTGAAGATTCATCCCTGTCAGCTTTCACCTTCATACCACCTGAATTTATTCAAGAGTTTCAAAATCAATCTTAAAAAAAAGCTTCAATAATACAGAGTGTCACCCTTACCTTCCCTCTTTTCCACATGATCAAGTGACTAATGTTCAAAGAAAAACCATGCTACTTTAAATCATACACGCTATAGCTAGTTAGGATCTTGCACATGCACACTATCACCAAGATTTTTAAGCCAGTCCAAGCTCCACAAAAATTAGTTATCTTAAATGAAGGAAAGTTCTTTGAAAACCCAAACATCATAAAACAAACTATATCAGACCAAGTAGCCACACTGAAAATTAGTTGCAAATGAAATTTTAACCATAAAATCAGAGAAACAAGTATAAAGTGAGAAAGCATACAAGACTTGGACAGCTAGCATGATAAGAAAATGAATTAGAAATCTTCTTCAAGCAATAATAATAATAATCCATTACCATAAAATAGCCAATATGATCTCAGTAGCATCTTATATCCACATGTTTATTTTGCTAAATTATTATTTATGGGTACTTCAAATTAACCCTCCCCCCTACCCATAAAAATCAGAAAATAAAAACTGGTAACTGGCAATCAATAATATGCTTAGAACTGCAATTCTGTTATGCTGCTTACCTGTAATACGAACCATAGTTTCTCTTCCAGACAAATCAGTCACATGCTGCAATTGTCAAAATACCGAAGGAAAAGAAACTAATTAAAATGCCTCACTTAAAATATTATTTATCAAGTAAAAGAATTCCCTTCTTCAGAATGAAAGACTAATAACCTACAATGAAAGTGTCATTAAATGATGCAAAAATGTGGGCAACACCAAAAACATGCTCTCCTTCTCGTACAGCAGGCCCAAGGTTCGAAGTCTCTTCCTTTGGCTCCCTAACCTTTCTCCTCGACTATACAACCAACAAATACACAGTTTACATAAGCATACATAGAAGTACATACGCAGCCAGAATAAACATTTAGGCATTGTACTTCTAACTAGGACTACGATTTGCACATAACATTATTTATACAATGCAAGGAGATAGGAGAGTGAAGACAAATGCTCGATATTCAATAAGTGAGCAAGAAAGCAGTGGCATGGAAAATTCAAACAATTGCTAGATCATAGTTAAAATCAGCAGAGCTCAATAAGGATATAAGCCATAAGGATATCTAATAAATAAACAGCGATCTCTGCTCGTAGCATCAATAGATTAAATTTCGTTTTAACTTTCTTCTGTTTTCTAAGCTATTGCGCCGAAATCAAGAGTTCTGTTAGATTAAACAAAGGGAACATTGAAAAAAAAAAAAAGAAATCGTAACGATCTTCCTCTCATTCCTTTTTTTTTCGGTTATCAAACTGATCGGAATAGGCTTAAACAGACACAAAACGCAACACCAACTTTCTCCCATTTTTTCCCACGTTTTCTCCGCAACCAAACAGATATTTCCACGTAGAATCAAAAGCATAACAAAATCCAAAGCTTCTTCAATTACAAGCGCAAGCCAAAAAATATCAAAGAAATTTCAAAAAGTAATAAAAATACTTGATTAAAGAATCTAAGGGATTTGCTTACCATGATTCAAAGCTAGCAGAAGATGAGAGGAGTAGAGAAGCCTATAGAGCGAGGACAGTGGGCTTGCAAATGACGGAGAAGATGCAAGTATAAAGCTTTGGTTTTTATACAAGTGAGAGGGGCTTAGGGTTTTAGGATGGGTAATTACAGAATTTATCAATTTGGTCCCTTATTTCATTTATTTCTTTTAGACGGAACGAAACATTTTGTCTTCTCAAATTAAGACTTCAAAAAATTTAGGGGTGAGGATTAATTGGTTGTACCCGATTTAAACCGATCCAAATAGGCCAAAATATATTAATTCGATTTTATTTATTCGATTATGATACTAATGGGCTAGAAAAAAATTATTTATTTATTTAATTCCATTGCTTAATGATTTTCAATTGATAAGCAAATAAATTGAATTAATCGATTTTGTAAATTTATTTTTAAATATATTTATATGTAATATTAATACAACATAATTTATATAATATTTTAAAATTATATATTAATATATTATTTATATTTTATAATATATAATGTATAATATAAATAATAAAGAACTTATATAATAATATAAATTATATATTTTAATAGTTAAAATAAATTAAACGATTGAATTGAACTATCTAAGTGGGTTTTACTTATTTCGATTAATCACTTAAATTTAGTTCAATTCAATCAATTATCTTAATTGAAATCAATTGATTTAATTTTTAAATTTTAAATATCTAATTGATTGAATAATTTCCTTTTTTTATCAAAATTTCATTAAAAGTATTCATGGTTCATACAAGATCCAACTTATAGACACTTGTAAATTCCCCAGGCCCACTTATTTATACATATTTTACTATTAAAAGTTGAACTAAAATATAATTTCTTATATTATTATTTTAAATATATTTAAATTAAAATAATATCATACTATTTCAATGGTCAAATAGTAATAATAATTTTTATACTATTTAAAATAATATTTTAACAATTTTTATTCCCCTCTTATTCGTCCTCATACGTACCCAATAAAATTTATTTTTTCTCAATTTATTTGACAAATCAATATAAAAAAAAAGTAAAAAGAAAAAGATAATATATATATTTTTGGATTTAGAATAATCTATTTTTGGCATTTCCAAAAAATCCGAATCCGGATTGTGCTTACGTCGTCGGATTTATCCCCAAAAAGCGACCGACTTTCTCTCATGTCGTATTCCTCCTGCTTATATTTTTACTCTTCCACGTCAGTCTTTCTCCCGTTTTACTTTACACCCAAAAACTTAGAACGCTCTTTTTCATATGAACGCAGCCGCCACGAATCTTCAATGAACAACCCGACACGACCCCGGCCCACAATGGAAATCAATGGAACTTCCCGCCACAATGACCACCCAAAATCCCCATCAACCGACCGATTCCTTTGCGTTTACCCTCAAGGGCCGCCATCCAACCACCCTTCCTCGTCCTCCTTTTCCGCTGTCGCGGAAGAGCTGAACGAAGATGATATCTTTTTCTCCGGCGACTTCTCCGACAACTCCAACGGCTCCAACTCCGTTGGCGGCCTCCAAAATCCCCTCCACCAAACGACCTCTCCTTCCTCTAGCCCCCGTAACCATAAATCCTTCCCTCAATCCGGAAACTTTGGAATCCTTGCCGCCATCCGTGACCCTTCCCGCAGGCACTCCCATTTCTACCAAAAACCCTCAATTTCGACATCAGTATCCTCTTCATCCTCTGCCACTTCAGCATCTTCCTCCTCTTCTCGTTTAATCCCTTCGATTCCGAAACCGCCGCAGGAACGAATTCCAATCGCTTCATCTTCCTCTTCTTCTTTAGGAAGGCTTCATCAATCTGCCCCGGTTAACGTGCCGATGCTGGCGAAAACAACGAGGAAAAACAGACACTTTGACAATTACGACGTGGACGTGCAGGAAGAAGGGGAAATGTTGCCGCCGCATGAGATTGTGGCAAGGAGCTTAGCAAAGTCCCCTATGTTGTCTTGTTCTGTGCTCGAAGGCGTGGGAAGAACCCTGAAAGGAAGGGATTTAAGGCAAGTAAGGAATGCTGTTTGGAGACAAACTGGGTTTCTTGATTAATTGATTAAGGAATTTGTGTTTTGATTTTTTTTTTTTTAATTTTCTTTTAGGGTTTTCATTATTGACTTTTGGATATGAAAAAGTATAAATGATCGATTAATGTAATCAAAATTTGACTTTTTTTATGTAATTTAATTCTTTTTGTTATGTGATTTAGTATTTTTGGTTGTGGATAAAATGTGAAAAAGAAAAAGCAAAGAAAGAAATTTACAGGTTATAGTGTAAGAGTTTAGAAACTTAAAAGTTAATTCATCTATGCTTATTGTAAAGTCATCTAAGTAATATTTGTTAAATTATATAAAGGGAGTCCTTTACTAGTTTTATTGGTATTGAGGTCTACATTCGGCTATTGCTTATTGTTTAAATAGTTTGAGATTTAATAGAACTTTCTGGTGCTAGATTATGCGGAGTTGATCGTTGAAATGGTAGTGCTAGTTTTAATACCTTCCAGTTAAATGCAGTGAGCTCTTATTAGAGAATGCTGCGTTTTGGCTTTCCTTGGTGGCTTGATAGCTTTGAACTTTTCTTGTTGCGTTTAAGATGTTGGAGGTCTTATGGTTCATATGTTGCTAGTTTGAAGTGGGATGATGATGGTAGGTTGGCTTGGTTGTGTAAGTGCTTATCTGGGAGTTCAATAATTAAACCTTGGTCTTTTTTCAAGACAATGCTAACTGAAACAGAAATAGTAAGCCACCTGCGTATTGTTATCTAATTGGGAAAAACTAAACAGCTGGTTGCTAAGCTTTTGAGTTGCTGTTTAAGTCTCCAGTTAGAGACTGTAATAATGTGCTGAAGATACACGTGTCTCTGAGAACTCATATCTGTTAAGAACTGAATGGTCTGTGTGCCTCTTTTATTACTTTTTTGTATTCTCCTGTTCCTTGAATACAATTCGATCCTTCTACAGCAAATCTCAATTTGTGGAAAGCCAGAACTCCTATAGGTCTTAACCTTGGTAGCATAACTGAAGTAAGAATGGATGATCTATCGGAGCTTTTGAATTGTAGAGGATAGAATCATATTTAGCTGTTCAAGTCACGAATTATATACTACTGAAATTTTGCTAAAATAGACTTGGTAGTCTCTGAGACCTCTTAGATGTGTTAAGCATTGATTGAACTCCTATAGTCTTAACTATGGTAGTGAACATAGTAATAATGGATGATTTACAGGAACTTCTAATTTTAGGGGATAGAATCAATTATTCATGAAGATTTTTCAAAGTTTTCCAAATCCTCATACTTGTAGTTCCCTTAGGACCCTTACCAAGCAAGGTTTAGGGTAACTTGGTATTTTGAAGTCAGTTTTCAATTATTTCAAGACCGAGATGTTAGTTCTCGACCTTCGTACATATTGACTAGGCCAGCAATGGCCACTTTTGACTCTCTCTCTCCACAAAGAAAAGTGATCTTTGGTGTACTAGATAGAAAGATGTCGTGTTCTGTTTTCTTATTCACAATTATGATCATTTATTTGCAGTATATGCCTGTGGGTCGGACTTGGTTGGATAGTTGCAACCCTTTTTCTAGGTTAAGACTTTGGAAATAGTAGCAATTATTGCAAACTTTCAATTTGCTGTAAGATGTTAACAACTCAGGTTTAATAATGTAGATCTGGTCTATGCCAAACAGTAGTTTATTTTTGGAGGGAAGAAAAATGGAAAGGCTAATGAGGGAGTAGGGATTCTCCTTCAGAGAATTTTTTCCCCTTTTTGGATGGAGGGTTATAGAGGGGAGAAGAAATTCTTTCTTTTTCAATTAAAACCTAATTTTGTACTTTCAAATTAAAGGATTTGAGTACTCCAAACAAGGGAATCTCTTTTTCATAAAGAAAATGGCTGTTCCTAACCCTGCTTCACCTCAATTAAACCTCAATTGTTTTGCATGTCCATGGAGTTTGCCCGAGGATTGACATTCCATTGCTCTTATTTTTTATATGTATATGGTTTCAATTATCTACTTATCTACTTCCCAATCTTTCTACGATGTAGCATCAGGCAGACTGTTAGACAATGCGTATCATCTTACGAAAATAGAGTATGTTGTAGATCAAGCAGAGTAAATATATATAAATGTATTTATGTAAAAGTATGTATAAAAGTGTTTTCAGTCATTTAAGGGTGTTCTTGTTTTAAGAGATTAGCAAAGGTTGATCATTTATACAATTGAATGACACACAGCAAGGTTTCTCAATATGGTATATACTTGAAGTCTTCTAGACTTGTCTACTCGACTGTGTCAATGAAAATATAGGGAAAACATAGCTACCAAAGCTGTAAAAGCCAACTTTATCAAAAATATGTAGAATCATGAGTATGGTTTGTAGTTGTTCACCATGTAGAGGAATATCAAGTTCCTGAATATGGCATAATTTCTTGATATTGTTTTCGTCTTGTCATAGATCAATCTGCTTGATTAGGTTCATTAGAATTCAAAAAGAAACTGCTATTACCAATGTTAAAAGTGAATTTACCAACATATGTAGAATTAAATGAAGATTCTATTTAATTTCAACCTTGGTCAGGTCGTAAAACCACATAAAAATACAACCAAGCGTTGTAATTAGGACTTTTTGAGTTTAACCTTTCTTCTGGTACTTGAGGTTGTAAGAAATCAAGCCTTTGTCACTTGAACTAAGAGTCAAGTATTTTATTAATAAATCACATGATTGTTGACAAGTTTGTTTTTTCATTTTTTTCAGGGTCAAGGCATTAGTCCCCAACCCTTTTAAGACATTGGCTTTGTGCTAGTCTGTTGAATAGTGAGTGTCATTTTCAATTTCATTTATATCTTCTGTGTGATCTGTCTTTTATTTGCAACATATGGTTGTGGTTCTCTCTTGGTTGTTCGATTGCAACTTGGGAGGAAGCAGTTATTGCGTAGTTTCAATTTGGATGAAGAATTAGGTAATGCAGATGTAGTTTCAATTTGGATGAAGAATTAGGTAATGCAAATTTAGTTTATCGGTTGACCTTTGAATGCAGATAATTATTAAATGACTGTGGACAATTTTTTTATCATTTTCCCATGGATATACCAAGTTCAAACTATATATATATATACACACTTGGGGTTTGATTGAATCGACATCAAAATAGTTGTTATTCAACAAAAAATTTAAAGCTTATTTTAGATTCTTGTAGTCATAACTCAAGCTGTTTGTAGGGTATATATAGGATACCTTGTGGATGATACCTTTCATCTACACTATCTTCGGGATTTATACCTGAATTGAAAATCCAACAAACTTTTCTTGAGAAATAAGGTATATGACAGCTTCACAATTTTTTAATGCTTGAGGTTATCAAAAATTGAATCTTGATCATTAAAATGAAAAGTTTAGTGCTCTAACAATATTTCATGCGATTGTTGGCAAAGTTGCATGATTTATTAATTTGCAATATCAACCAAAATTAATCAGACATACGTTAACAGTTAGAACTTGAAAGTTTCGACTCTGAAACAACAATTATACCTTAAAGGGACAATGAATAATAATGATGATGTCCATTTACATAAAAAGAAATCTAAATTATTGATAATAGAAAATTAAAAGTATTAAAACGAATTTACTTACAAAAAATTGGACATCATTTTGAAGAAATTAAACGGCTTGTAAACGACATAAGGATTTAGGAAGTTGCTTTTAACCTATTAAACTGATGCTAAAAACAATTTATTTTCTTCAAGAAATACAAAAAAAAAAAAAAAAAGCTTTTAGAGAGACTTATAACCATTAAGCTGAGAGTTCTTTTGGGGGGACATTCGTTGGGTATATATGTCTGGCAATATACAGCAAGAAAGGGCTGCCCTCCTTTAAGTTCTTTTCTAATCTAACGACTTTCTTATCAATTTTATTTCTTTCATTTATAATTTCAGAAAACGTGAAGAAAAATATATTTTTTTATATAAAGAGAAGTTTAATCTTGGGTGCCTTATGATTAGCATATAACAATTTTTGATGCCATTCAATCGTGTCTTTTGTTGATATATTATTATTATTATTATTATTATTGTTATTGTTATTATTATTATTATTATATTAAACTTGTAGTGCTGTTTCTGATGTACGACTTATGATCAAAAGGCCGAGAGAGGGTTATCCGTGTGACGGACTCATTGGAATTGCTTTTGTGAGTTGTGCAATTTTTTATCGTAGTACGTGCAATAAGGATCCATCATAGTACGTGAATAAGTCTTGTTTTATGAATAAATGATGTGAAAATGCACCTCTTTTTACATGCCATTCAGATTGGTGGCTTTTATTTCTGCCGTACTCTTTTGTACGAACATGAATTGGTGTTTGGTTTTCAACTCATTTAGACACCCCAAATGGAACCAAAGCTTGTTGTCAAATCGGCAGTGAGAAATGGTTGCACTTAATTAGTGAAGAAATGAAAACATTGAGGCCATAGCAGGACGTTTGCATAGTACAGCAAGAGAAATTGTGATGCAATTAATGTGGAATGAGAAAGGAGGCATCTCTGCAAGTATATCTTCAAGAACTTATTGGTAAGTGAAGAGAGGATCAAATTTCTAATCTAATAGAGTATTACTTGCCAGGAAAGTGTTTCCATGCAGCTGAGCTACCCTACAACATTTAATCTAAGGCTTACCTTGTGGTCCGTAGGATTCCCAACTGTCTCTTTCATAAAAATTTTAGGTCAAATTCAATGTTTAATTTTTACTATTTAAAGATTCTTCAAAATTTCACAATGAAAAGTAATTAACTTATTTTTTGTTTAACTAATAATATATAAAATTTATTCATTGTGATGCATCAACTATAATTTCAATATACATGAACTACATGATCTTCAAAAACAATAATTTCACTCTAATTTTTCATTTGTAATCATCTACTACAAAACTAGCAATTTATGAATCTCACAAGTCACATCTTGATGCTAAATCTTGACTCTAGTTTTAATGGATGTTGAAAAGAAAGAAGCTCAAAGAGATGAAAAAAGTAATGTTAATGGACATTACATCTCATCCTCCATTTTGCTAAGCAAAAACTGACATTAGGGTTTTACATTTCTTCCACCTTTCATTTATTGGCATTGAAAAACCAAACCTATCATTGTAAGGATTTATTAAATGTCACAAAAAAGTTTGTTGCCTACAACAAAGCAGCAAATATACAATCCAGTGTCTTCCGCTTCTTTACCTAATGACAAAGAAACTTTAAAAAAGATATTAAAATTTGAGTTCGAATCAAATCACTCCCTCTTTCTTTTCATGTAATAAAGTGTTACCCTCTTTTCAACCAAATATATATATACTATCCAGCAACATGATCGTATATTGATCATACTTTATTTTTTAACTTTTGATTGGTGGTTTCTCGTATACTTTTTTTTCTAGCTAAATATATGCAGCATCCTAGTGTCATGCAATATTTCACTTACTCCCTCTCCAATCCATCTTTTCCACTTGAATGTTGCTTTCTGCAACTTTTCTTTCGTTTGGGTTCCATCACATTCATCGTGAAAGAAATTAAGTTGCTGATTAGGTGACCAAAAAGGCAAATTATTGTTATTTTTGAAGCAAAGAAAACTTTACTCACTGTTACATTTTTTAACATAAGAAACATTACAATTTAAAGTCTAATTAATAACTACCCACTAAAATCATAATCCTAAGATTAAGCCATGACCACCAGCATGAATAACAAAAAAAAAATAACCAACACCAAAAAAACAGGAACAACATGAAACATTCAATGAATCCACATTAGCAATCCTAAACACATCTTCTAACACTCCTCCTTGCTTTAGGAGCTGCAAACACCAAGTTTTGTCTTCAGAAATTCAAACTTGCTAACTGGTAGTAGCTTGGTGAAAACATCTGCAACCTGATCTTCTGTTTTGCAGTAGACAAGAACAACAGCTCCATCTTTCTGTACTTCCCTTAAGAAGAATAATTTAATATTAAAATGTTTAGTTTTCCCGTGAAACACAGGATTTTGAGAGATAGCAATGGCAGCTTGATTGTCAACAAGAATCTTCGTGCTTTTCTCCTGCTCTAAGTTAAGATCGATTAAAATCTTCCTTAGTCACAAAGCTTGATTAACAGCAGCTGTTGCAGCAATAAACTCTGCTTCAGCTGAAGGATTGAGCTACAATTTCTTGTTTTTTCGAGCTCCATGAGAAAACACCAAAACCAAGTGTGAAATAATAGCTGAAGTGCTCTTCATATCATCAATGGAACCTCCTCAATCACTATCTGAGAAACCAACCAGCTTGAACTTTCGATGAGTTTGCGTTGCTTAGTTCCCTGAATAGATCCTTGTCATGTGTCATGTGGTTAGTACAACCACTATCTATAAGCCAACTCTCACTTGATTCGATGTCGGAGAAACATGTAGCTACGAACAGGTGATCTTCCTCCTCTTGATCAGCAATCTTTGCATCTTCACCATGTTGCAGAATTTTATTTTTGTAGATAACAGCTTCATGCCCCATCTGATTACATTTAGTGCATTTAGCATCAGGTCTTCTTTAGCATCTAAATGGAGGATGACCCTTCGTTCCAGAATGTTGGCAAGGTGAATAGGATTTCTTCTGATTTTCATTTTTTTCTTTTGCATTGGCTGATGCAGTACTTGCCCCATTTCCTTCAAAATCTTTTTTCTTTTTTCTTTTGCTTTTGGCCACATTTTGATGCTTGACTGCCAAAGCTTCTTCAATTGTTGTATCTTTCCCTCATCAGTCTTCTTTGTTCTTGTGCTTGCAAAGCGTTAAGCAATTCTATTAAGAAAATTTTTGACAGATCCTTTGTATTCTCCAAGGCAGTGATGGTTGCTTCATATCTTTCAGGTAATGTAACAAGAATTTTTTCTACAATTCTTGAGTCAGTAAATTCAGATCCAAAAAGCCTTACTTTGTTTGCGATACTCAGAAACTTATCGGAGTAATCTTTAATCGTCTCGGAGTCCTTCATTCTTTGAAGTTCAAATTTCCTAATCAAGTTAAGGACTTGCATCTCTTTAATTCTTTCATCTCTTTCATATTCATTCTTAAAATAATCTCATATCTCTTTTGCTGACTTCAGAGACATGATACGAGTGAAGATGATGGATGAGACTGCAGTAAACAAGCAGGCATTTGCTTTTGATTTCTTTGTCTTCTTTTCTTTCTATGCTTTAATCTGTGCCATGGTGGGATTGTTTGGAAGTGCAGAAATTTCATAGTCTTCTTCCACTGCTTTTCAAAGATCTAAAGCTTTCAAGTATGTCTCCATACGTACTGCCCAAATCTGGTAGTTGTCTCCGTCGAACACCGTTGGAGCAATTACGGAGAAACTGGCTTCAGCTTCCATGACACGTCAATTTCACACACAGATCCCTTAAGAAGAAAGCTCTGATACCAAATGTTGTTATTTTTGAAGCAAAGAAAACTTTACTCACTGTTGTATTTCTTAACATCAGAAACATTACAATTTAAAGCTTAATTAATAACTACCCACTAAAATCATAATCCTAAGATTAAACCATGACCACCAGCATGAATAACAAAAAAAATAATCAACACCAGAAAAACAAGAATAACATGAAATATTCAATGAATCCACATTAACAATCCTAAACACATCTTCTAACACAAATCTTTAACTGTATCTATTCTATTATGTTTCTTTCATTTCATCAAATCTTCATAGCTTTATCCAGTTAATTAAATTCCCCTATATAGAAAACCATTGTTAATGATTCTCAAGTTTAATTATGAAATTTTGGTTTTCAACTCCTAAATTAAAAAGATGAGAATGATGGATTTAATTAATGTAGGATAGAGAAATGCCACTTTTTTAGGCCAGCCGGATCCTCCAAGGGGACCAAAGAGAAAACAGAAGTCAATCACTAAGATTTGATTTGAAGTACTTTAATTAATTCCTAATAGGTTAGATTGTGGTTAATGGAATGATATCTTTATAGAAAGACAAAATCATATCCAAAGTATTGAAGTGATAATAAAGTGGCTATATAGGCCTAAAATAATAATAATTTTGATCATGTCATTTAGGATACCTGGACAAAAACTTTTTTAAGAATTTTACCCTTTTTTTGGTTGGAAACGGATTTTACCTTTGTTGCTCCAGAGTTATGGTGAATTGTAAAATTTGGAAAGATCTGGCTTTCATCCTTTAACTACCCACAAGAAATAATATATCTCGTGTCATGTTTTAATAATCAAACAGTTGGATTGATAGATAAAATTAGATTTTGACACGACGTGATGATATATTATAAAAAAAATAAAAAAATTAAAATAATATAATTTAAAATTTTAAATATTATATAAATTTAATAAAAATTAAAAAAAATCATGCTTGATATATTTACATAAATTTAATATAATAACTTTTATTTAATATAAAATCAATACGACATAAATATTTAATTTATCGTTTGAAGACAAAATAAAATAAAAAAACATTATTTTATTGTTACTATTGCTGCTCCAAGGAAATAACTCTAGGCTTAAATGTGAAGTTATCGACAAGGTGTGCAAATATACATTTGTTACTGTAGAAGATGAGGGACTTGCCGTGCTAGATCGTTACAGCAGTAAATTCACACCAACTACCAAAATCAGGCTTTTCTTCCATCATTGAATGTGGGCTAGCTAATTTCAGCATTGCACCCCCTGGTATTTATAAGCAGCAACATATGCTATCTTCTTCCATATACTTTCTTCATACTGAAAGCTCTTGGGCGTTTGCTTACAATGGCACTTCGTTCAGTGATCACTGCAGTACTCTTCTTCCTGTTGGCTCTCGCTAGGATTCAGCTCTCAACATGCCAAGTTCTCAAGGCCAGAATCTCCTGCCTTGACTGCAATCATGATTATGACTTCTCAGGTTCTGTCTAGTTATATATACATTTCACTCTAAAAAAGTTCACTTTTTTCTCAACTTCTTAGCCTAAATTATTATGTTGTTTAACTCGTCTCAGGGTTACAAATTGCCAGTTTCTAGTTGTGTTAAATCTTTTTTTTTGGCTAATTCAGGTATCAAGGTTGCAGTGAAGTGTGGTCAAGTGAAAAAATTAGCCACAGCAACCACAGAAGAAAATGGTTCTTTCCAGGTGGAGCTTCCATCAGACAAGTCAAAGATTTCAGCATCCGATCTGAACTGCCTTGCCAAGCTCCTCGGTGGTCCGAACCAGCTCTATGTTAGGAAGAAAAACGTGGTATCAAAGGTTGTCAAGGCTCATGAACTGAATTCCTACGCCATCTCTACTCCACTTGCTTTTTCTACTTCATGCCCTTTGGCTTCCAAAGATGCTAAATGTGGTGCTCCAAACGGGATCGGTTCATCAAAGACTGTTGATCTCCCTCTACCCCCAGAGTGGGGCCTTGCACCATCTAGCTTTTACGTTCCTTTCTTCCCCATCATCGGCATCCCTTGATCATCCCAGTGGTTTACAGTTTGCCCTTTATGTAATAATCAAATATCATATCATATATATAGTTCTTTGCTGCTATATAGAATCTGTGAGTGCAGACTGTAGTAAGATTTTAAGTAATTTCTATTAATTATGTGTATTAAGAGTGGAGGGATGGATCGTGGATGTGATCTATGTTTCTTGTTTAATATACTAGCATTTTACCCTTTTTCTCCTTGACTATGGCCATGGGACATGCCCATGGATTATGAGTATTCTTAATACTGTATTTTGTTTTTAGATAAAGGGTCTAAGCTCAAACATGTTATAAAGGATCTTAGGACAAGTGCATGGAGTGATTTGGTATAATTAATTAGATTATGCCTAGGCTACTTTTGTTAGTTCGTTTTCTGTTTCTTGTTTGGACAACCTCGTTAACATCAGCTACCATATATAAAAGATGTGAAATGGCCCCATGGCCCATTGGCAAGTTGCATTTCTCTTTTTGGAATTGTGGGATCAAACAGTTAGAGATTAATTAGGCAATATTCAAAAGATTAAGCATCATTTTGTTTTCTTTTTTCAGTTCTTTTTTTTTTTAACGAAAGTTAAGTGCAAAAAACAAATTAATTAGAAAACAAGAAACCTTTAACAGAGACGTTATTTTTTTGAATACCCTTTACATTGATCATGTAATAAATAGTTTCAAAATGGAGAAGACTTATGAAATTTTATAAGTGAAGATCGTGAGTTTTTTTATAAGAAATGAGTAAATAAAAATTAAAATGAAAAATTAAAATTAATAAATTAAAAGATCTCATCACATAGATTAAGTATCTAAAATTTAAAAAAAATTTAAGATTTTTTATATATTTATTAAATAAATATTTTTAGTAAAAATATTAATAGAATTTTTATCGTTAAATGGGTATCGATTAAATTTGAAAATAAATAATATTTTAAATAATTTTTACATATTATTGATCTTCATATTAAACTCTATCAATATATTAATTTAAATTTTTTACTAAAATTTTTATTTATTCATTTCTAATAAAAAAACTTCACAAACTTCACTTATAAAATTTCATATAAGTTTTGTCTTTACAAAATATTCTGCCAAGGCCAGAAGCCAATAAAATCTCAAGAAAGTTATTAGACCATTAGCTTGTCCGGAGGGACCTCTTTTAAAGGATTTTTATACTATTTAATGACCAATATACTGAAAACTTTATAATCACAAAGAAACCATTTGAGTCTTCAGTTCACTGATCATAATTCAAAAACAGTGGTCAAACTATCTAATCTAAGAATAATGTAGGAGATTCGGCAGCATCAAGGGTAGCAGCAGCAGATAAGGAGTTCTTTTCTAAGTTTCACATATACCTTCCAAACTAAATCCACAAGGTTTCCCTTGGATCTTATACAGAATGTTCTAATAAAGTTCTTTGAACAAACTTTCTCATGAAATATTAGTCCCATTCTCGCAAGTTTCTTGCACCAATTTTCCAATAAGCTGTCACTATTGCACCTCTATAAGCTGTCAGCTATCTGTTAATCAATTTGTAGGATACAGTGTAAACTTGACCACCACAATATTGCATAAAGAAGCTGCTATATTTGAATTGAACATTCACTTTCAGCCAGAATTCTCAAATCATCAACTGTCAAACATGGGAGGCCACAGTCCACACAATAATTTTGTGTATTTGTAGCATTTTTTTGGATATCTCACCCTGTATTGCATGGAACCCTATATTTAAGGGAGCTTGAATTAGAGATGAGGGTCAGGTGTGATTACTAAGACCATTAAATTTTTAGTTGTTCAATGGATAGATTTCTTTAGCTGTCATTCTGGCTAACGGGAACCATTAACCTGATATGCATCAAGAACCATTCTTTGCTTCTATTATTGAACTAAAATCTTAAGAAATGATGATGATATTTCAATGTTCTAATTTCATTCACTGAAAAGCAACCTGAGGCACGAAATGGACGCAATGAAATTTTTTCTGCAGGGTAATCAGACGTTTGCAAGCTTCTGTAGGCAGAAGGGAATTTGATTCTTGAGTTGATCAGGATGGCAGAAACTTTGAAGGAACATTAGAAGTGTTAGGAACGTGGGCTCCAGCACTTTGACTATTTAAAAGTCATGGGCCTTGTGTTTTAAGCTATGTTAAGAAAGCCCTATATCTTAAAAGAAAAGTGGGAGCAATTTTTAGCGGAAAAGAAAGTGAGAGAGAGTGCGCCAAAAAGATAAAAGTAAAGCCAAAAAATTATAGAAAAAACAGAGGAGAGAGAATTGGTTAAATAAAAAGTGATCTGTCATTCGATTGAATTAAAATTTTATCAACAAGTTTATAATTCAAAGTTTTACATTCTGAACATTAGAGATCAGGTTTGAAACTCTTTAAAAATAAATTTATAGTGTATTTGTTAAGTCACCTATTTAGTGAGATTTCTTTAATTATCTTTTGAGTTATTGATTAACTCTAGTTTTAGCTAGAAGAGAACTTTGTATATCCATAAATTTTTTTGGTGATCTGTGATTTTTTTCTTATACATTAGAGGATATTTCACGTAAATCTTAATGTGCTTTATTTTTTATGTGTTGTTTATTATTGATTGTTATTTATTACTGTAGGTTTATTGTGATATATTATTTCTGCATTATTGTATTTGTCACTTTAGGCCCAACAAGTGGTTCAAAGTAAAGGTAATTTTGAGATATTGTTATAGAAGTGAAGTAAATTTTATTTAAGATCATGAAGGGTGATACAGTTTCATGATAACATTAACAACATCAAATTATTCAATTTGGAAGTCTATGATAAAAGATCATTTATACTGCAAAGATTTGTATAAGTCGATATTGGACGATTCGACTAAACCAGCAAATACGAAAGAAGAAAGCTTAAAGAAGTTAGGCAAAAAGACGCTAGCTACAATAAAAAAATAGGTTCATATCAACATGTTTCATCATGCAGCGCAAGAGACAAATGTCCACATTATTTGAAAAAAATTGATAGTATTGTATGAGATGAAAATAGACATGAATAAAATTATGCTTTTTAAAAAGCTTGTAACTTTATTGTATAGGGATGGATAATAGGTTATAGAGCACTTGCATGATTTTCAAAATATATTAAATCGAATGACTACTATAGAGCTTAAGATGAATGATGAAATTAAAACTTTATTTCTTTTGAGTTTATTGTCAAACAGTTGAAATACTCTAGTTGTAACTGTTCTTAATTTAGCTTCTGATTAAAATGTGACATTGAAGATGGTAAATGATAGTATGCTTAAAAAAAAACAAGGCGAAAAGATTCAGACCCTAGGAATCAAGTTCTTATCATAGAGAACAGGGGAAGAAACATCGACAGAGGTCAGAATTCAAAATGCTATAGTAAGTCTAAATATAGTCCAAGTCCAGAGATAAAGTAAAGTGCTTCCATTATGGTAAAACAAGTCATATAAAGTGATACCACAAAATCTTAAAGTAAGAATGGAAAGATGAGAAAGGTAAGAGTTCAAATTATGATAATATTACAATAGTGAATTCAGATAGTGATTCAATTACTTTGATTTGTATACATGATAATTGTAATCATGTTGGTGATTTCGACATTGAGTGGATAGTTGATACAGAAGTGACATATCATTATGTTTTTAAGAGAAAATTGTTTACAATTTACAAAACAAGACTTTGGTTATACCAAGATGGAAAACAAAAATATGTCACAAATTATTGAGATCGATGATATTATTGTACAAATTAGTAAGGGTTGCATATTGACTTTGAAGAATGTCAGACACATTCTAGATATGATAATGAACTTACTTACTATTAATATCCTTAATAAGGAAAGATATGAGAGTCGACAAAAAAATGGGCAGTGAAAACTTATCAAATGATTTATAATAGTTGTAAAAGAAAAATTATGTTGCATAATATATAAAACATGGATGCAATTGAACAACAATTAGATAAATGCCATTAACAATGATGCTTCAGTAAATATGTGGCACAAAAGGCTAATACATATGAGTGAAAAAAGTTATAGGTTTTGGCAAAGCAGTCTCTTATTACCTTGACCAAAGGTATGTCTCTTTATTCATGAGATCATCATTTGTTTGGCAAGCATCGTAGCGTTTCTTTTCATAAGCATTCTCAGAAAAAAGAAAACATATTAAAATTGATTCATTCCGATGTATGTAATCCTATTGAGGTTGAGTCATTGGGTAGTAGTAGGTATTTTATTACTTTTATTGATAATACTTTACGTAAGACTTTGGTATATATGTTGAAAAACAAAAGCTAGGTATTACAGTATTTTTAAAAATTTCATGTCTTGATGGAAAATATGACAGAGTTGCCCTTAAAGTGTATTTGAACTAATAATGGTAGAGAATACACATCCAAAGACTTTAAAAAATATTGTTCAAAGTATGAGATCAAGCATGAGATAACAGAACCTGAAATACTGCAGCATAATCGTGTAGCTAAAAGGATGAATCACACTATTGTGAAAAAAGTTAGATGTATGTTAAGGAAGGTAAAATTACCAAAGCCATTCTAATATGAAGTAGTCAACACCGCTTATTATTTATTTAATAGATCACCATCAGTTTTTTTGGGCTTTGACATTTCAAAAAAAGTGTTGACAAAAAAAGATGCTTCATACTCTCATTTGAAAGTTTTTAGGTGTAAAGCATTCATACATATACCAAAATAGCAAAGGTTAATGCTTGACAGTAAAGCTACACAATGTATGTTTATAGCATATGACGATGAGAAATTTCGCTATAGGATATGAAATCCAGTGAAAAAAAGACAGTTTGAAATAGAGATGTGATCTTTTCATGAAAAAGAAATCATAGCAGACTTTAAAAAAAATGAAAAGACTACACAAGTTAATGTTGAGTGTGATGTTTTAATATTGATAGGGGTTTCACTAAAAAAAATCACAGATGGTAAAAATGAGTAAGAGATAGAACTTGAGGATATGAATAAGCTAGCTATAGTTAATGATAAGCCAAATGCAATCAATTTTGAGTAGGAAAAGCAATCTTTTTACCTAAAAGTATTGAGTAAGATGAGCAGTCTTTTCCATCAAAGAGTATTGAGCAGAAAAAGCTACCTTCAAAATCAGATAATGTAAAGTCTTAACCTATGAGATCTACCAGAGAGCACAAACCATCCACCAGGTATCCAAGTTCATATTTTATTTTAGTTACCAATGAGAAGGAGCCAAAGAACTTTCAAAATGTACAAATTACTTTGGATAAAAAGCATTGGTTAAA